TGCGGGGATCCCGGACCGAAGAAGTGGAGCCCTGAATTTCTCTTCGTCCTCGCATCCCAGCTCCGGCGGGAGATCAAGAGAATCTATCAATAGATCGCCGACTACGTCGCCAATCGAGCGTCAGATTGAATAATCCGAAAGGTTTTTCTCCCAAAGGATGTCCCCTCCGCCTCAGCATTCAGCTGTCCCCTAGCGTGGACCAGGAGGGACTTCTTGGGTCACTCTCCGTGATCTGGGGAGACAGCGAATGAAAAAAAAATGGCACGATCAAGTCATTTGCGCAACTGTCCCGTCGACAATGATGAAAAATGATGATTCCGATGGAGCAAGCCTCTGAGCTGGTCGATCGGCCAGACAGCCGAGAGATCACATACGCGAGAGCGAAATGAAGATGGACAACGGTCCCTAATGGGATATCTTCCCTTCACCGAAGCCCGTGGCCTTGTTGTAGGCTCAACAGCGTTCCCGGTCTCCCAGTGATGGCCAATGAAGCCCGTATTCTTGACAGAGAGCGCGACTAAACGGTAACAAGATACACACGGTGCCCGATCCGGAGCTTGAGCTATTTAACGAGCTGCAACGTAGTCGCGAACGGCGCGGCGGCGGCCGGCGATTGACAGCTCCAGGCTTCGTCGACGGTAGGCGCTCTTAAGCTCTTCTCAATCAGCTAATAAAGCCATATGCTTTCGGCGAATACGCACCAATGTTTGGAGCCTGTCCGAATCCGCCATCCGTCACCATAGCGTACATTGCGAACCAACTTAAATCCGAGCACTCCGGAGGACCCCTATTTCACTTCCGAGCTTCAATAACCTAATTTTCCGGGAGGCTGCGATCGATCTTCATTTGCCTGCTCTCCTTCGCGACAACGGCTCCATGGGTATCGGCATCGTTCCCGTCCCTCCACTGCGAACGATTCTGGAAAAAGAAGGCGAGCTCCGAACAAGGGCTCTCATTTTAAGCGGAACTTGAGCGTGGACTCTCTCGTGCCAGATTCGAAAAGTGCCTCGACGGGAGCTTCATCGATTCATCTGATGTCGGCTTCCACTGTTCTGGAAGCGCCCGCTCCGCTCTTTGAATTCTCGTGAGGTAGACAGCAATATCTCGGAGACTCGCCGGCAGTCTGCCTGGTCTATCTATTCCGGATGCTGCGAGAATTTCTCGCAAGACCCCTCAGAGAGCCTCACCGAAATCACCCGAGCACGGAAATCGTGCCAATCACAAGCAAGAAACACTTATGATCTATGTCATTAGTCATTACTCTCTCGGGATGAATAACTTCTCCTCGTATAAGAATGAATCTTCAATCATCAGGCAGAGGTTTATTATTCTCCTCTCTTCGATTCCACGGGCACATGTTTTGGCCAGAACGAAGCTCGCGTGTTTCTAGCATCGACCGCTAGAAAGTCAGAGAGCGTCGGTGTGGCGGCTTAGACCGTTTACGTCCCTGCCGTCGGTCGGCCTTCCTAGCGTCTCGCACAGGCTATCTGGACACCTTGCCGCTCTCAAATGATGACCTGGAAGTTCGCGTGGGCCTGGGAGAATTCCTCATTCGTGCGAAGCGCGGGTCTCCTCGATCTGCTCGGAGCCAAGCCAGGGTAGGACGGCTTCCTAGAGGAGATGGCTAGTGAATAGTGCGACCGGTGATGATCATATTTAGCCCTAGTCGGCTCCTCTTCTTCTCGAAAATATGGCTCATCCCGGAGCGAGCACGACCGAGGTTCGATAATCCTGGGACGGTAAGATAATTCCGTGAGCGGCCTTCCGTATGTCGGACCGATACCTGCTTTGTTTCTCGGCTCGTTTGTCGTCCACCATCCGTGCGAGGGTTTGCCGGAGAGCTTCGGGGACTCATAGGAGTATCCAACGCGTAAAGGTCGGGACTCAGAGTGGGATTCCTCCCGAAGGGATTGAGGTTGTCCGATGGCACTTCTGTTTCCCGATCATCCACAATCATCCGCCATCACAAATGTTTTACCTACCGTTCTGAGCGACCAAACTCGGAAAGAGATCGTTATCTATGTACCTATATAAATTCTCCATTTTCGATAGAAATGGAGTTCATCCTACCAGTCAATATACTGCTGACCTGTGACTAATATTGTTTCCAGCGTAAGTCGGACCATTTTCCGGAAGGAGAGGCCGTGGATACTTCCAGACTGGGCTATGATCTTGAGATCGATGTAAGAACCGATCTGGGAATTGTTCGCCCTCTTTTCCACCAAGTCATCCAAGAGATGAGTGCGACGAAATAATTGGAAGAGCATTCTAACATCAGCGGAATCAAGAATAGCGCCGATGGAGGTTAGGATTTAGCTCGGGACCGGGATGCACATCGGCATCGGCGACGTGAGTGGATCAGGTAATGGCTTCGTACTCCGTAGATGACCCTGGGGAGTTGAACCTGAGACGCCTTCCGTAAGGGAAAACAGCACATTAATCTTGAATCGTGGGAAGACAAGGGAATCAGATGAGCGTACACGGAACGGGTTTCCTCTCGACGAATCCACGGTATACGGTATTCATTCGGATCCGTGCTAATTTGACAGGATTGCGATGGTGGTTCCTGGAGTTCGATCGGACGGTGATGCCAAAGTTCCTGGTAGAGTCGGCTCAAGAATGGGCATTATCGTAGAGTTGTAGAGCGAGGGGGTCCGAGGCCTGATGGCCGGCCCGGAACACGCCCGCTTGATGAACAGGGCAGCGATAATGCCATTCCTCTGGCCCCGCTGAGAGAAATGGTGTTCAGCCGACTCGAGGGGATTCGATGAGCGTCCCCGGCAATCGGGATCCATATTTCGTCCAAAATTTCCTTCATTCATGTGGGGAGACCGATTTTGTGTCATTCTGAAGAGTCGTGGATATTAATTTCAACTTGCAGGCAATTTGCAGGGGATGTTTAGTCATGGATCGAGGACACGATTTCAGAGGAGTACGTCTGTCCAGTGTACCGCGTTGAGCGGCTCTAAAAGATCGGCCTGTAGAATTCTAGTGCTGCTTCGTGAGCTCCTGCGGAGATACGGGGTGCAATGCATCTATGGAATGAGTTAGGGACTTCGGAGTTTTCATAGCACCGTTCGGAACGCAAGGTCGACGACTCCGTACACCACAGTCGGACAAGAGAATATTTCCCTCTCAGCTTGCGGAATTGTACTCGACTGAGAAAGGGAGCTGCAGTTTGCGATCGTGTGAAATGGAATTGAACACAAGCTGTGCGGCAGCTAGAATCAGCGAAGGGACAGAGTCAGCGATAGAAGCAGTTCATAAGTCGACAAAAAGAGTGCAGTAAACGTCGTCCCAAATAATGCGCTGGCGTCCAGGAAACGTTCCGTTCAAATGCATGCTCGTTGAAGCGAACTCATTCGACCATTAGGTGTACGGGAAATCGACCGAAATACATATTAGAGGAAGATCGTACCTTATAGCGATAATTCGTCCTAATGTGGTTCGTTTTGAGGGGTTTCACTGCAGAGGGTTTGACGAATCGGAAAGGTTCAAGAAATAGAGCGGTCTGCGCATCTCAGTCTGCTTCCATTTTCCGTCGAAAACTCAGACCAATAGACTCATCATCACGCTTCCGATGAACCTCGAAAAACTGCTGCTTAGCGACAAGCATAGACTCTGATCCCACTAGACTGCTCGAAAACTTGACTGATGGGAATTGGTCTGGGACCCATGGACCCATGGAAACCCCGCTGAGTGCGATTTCGGAACTGAGCGGGGTTTCCATGAATCATGATAATTATGAAAAACAAAATTGTAGGAGCAAGTTCGGTCCTGAGTCGAGTACCTAATGAACTAAAGAGGACGGCGTTGGATGACTGTCTAACGATGGCGGCGAAAAGAAGTTGGATGATAATGGTAATAATCACCATGGAGCAGCACATTTGTCATGCAACACATCATCCGCGTACGAAATCCAACTAGTCGTGCTCTCGCTTGAATTGTGCATACTCGGACGCTGTATGATGCTATCATCGCTTTGCTTCTCCGGTGCTTAATCCCGCCGCTCCCGTGGTGGCACGACCCTGATTGCGGCAATCTTCGGAGGAATGAAAATATGTCGGGTGAATCAGAAGCTGCGAAGTCATCTTTGCAGTCGATGCGTGAGTTCGCCGCAAACGCAGGTTATAGAGTCGAACGATATCTGGGGAATTACTTCGGGGGACGGAATACCGGCGCGCTCCTTCAGGGCCACGTAACTGTTAGATTGTCCGTCGCTCAAGGAGAAGTTCTGAATGACGTCACTCTTCCGTCATCGTGAAATAACTCTCACGCCACCTTGGTTCTAGGCATCGGTCGCGATGCGAGACAGGACGCAGTCCGCCGTCAAAAAGCCCCTGGTAGGTACTGTCAGGGACTGATCTGCGAGTCAGCGGAAAGAGCGTAGCGAAGGGATTGGAAGGCGGGATTCGGGATTTGATAGTTTATCCCCAATTTTCGATCGGTTCTCGAGAGTCTACTGTGGAAATTCAAGCGGTAATTGGCGAGACCTACATTGATTCGCCTACGAGAGTCTTGTCGCACTGACAAGTAGAGCCTGTACTGAATAAATCAGTTATTTATGCGGTTTCCACCCCTCTTCATGGGGGGTCAGATTCGAGCTTATCTTGCAGAACATACTCCAGAATCTCGTGAGGAATATACACAGCTGATCTCCCGTAAACTTCCGTTCTATCAGCGACAACCTCATCATAACTGGTGTCGCATTGGCAGAGTTATTAGATGTCAAAAGCGGACAAGATTTCGTTACACGAAGACGAAGTTTAATTGGAAACACCCCTCAGTAAATTCAATTGAAGACGTTTCACGTCAAAAAATCATTCTCAATGATTTCGGCTCGTCTCCATTTATCCGACATTTATTCAAATTACCCTTTCGTTTTCTAGAAAAGTTCCGAGCTCCGTCTCAGGCGCAGACCGTGACTCTCGATGCTGCCACTGTAGGAGGCCCAATAGTCTTAGCAAAAGATGTCAACTAGAGAATATTCTCTTCATAATTTACTCAATTCCGTCTTCAATCTCGACCTCCTCCACTGGACTCAATGAAGAGACAACAGTGCTGGGTTCCAACTGTAGTTCAGATGGTGGTGGCGGGAAATCCGTATGTTGCCCGAATTCTGAATTCGTCGGCGTTTTCCCATCGTTGGCTTCTATGGCGGCTTGCATGAGTTGACAAACTTCACTGAAGTCAGGACGGTCCTCGGGCCTGGAAGGAAGGAATAATAATTAGAAAAGTGGTGAGCTTGAGAGCCAATTCTGTTTCTGTTCATAGGCAATCGGGCCGTCCGGATAAAGACCCGCGGCTTTTCCGAGCTATTTGTCGCCTTTCTCTGATGGTTTCAGATCGTGGATAGCTACGCCGCGGGGGAATCATTGAATGGCTGGAAACTTCTGAAGCGCTTTGAATTTGAGTTTTGCGGTAGCTTGCGGTCGAGGTAGAACAGTGAATCCCCGAGGGGTTAACCAATCTCGCAAATCGAATATTTTCCAAACTTGTGCATAATACATGACGGCGAAAAACGAATCAGCCGGTTCCCGCGGGCGCAGCACTCAACTCTCAGCCGCGCATCGGCTTTGTTTGGCGGCGGCCGTTGCCGGCTTACGAAGGGAGCTCATACAAGTCACCATTTTCCTATCAGAACTGTCTGTGTGCCCTTCCTCATGTATCGGGAGAGGTCGTCCCGGGAGAATCTCCGATAGGTTTCCCGAGGGTCTAGACGCAACGCAGACATTTCTTATTCTAGGGAAGTGGGTTACTCACATGTATGCCCAACATTTCCACATGATGTCATAGACTTCGGGGGGACACTCGTCGGGCATTTCGAGTCGTTTATTGCTTTCGAACATGACGAGAATGTCCTGGCCGGCGAGGTTCTTGAAAACACGAGAAAGAGACTGTCGCACACGGGAATTCCACAATGATTTCGACGCTACGAGTGTACTTGTTTCGAGCAAGAACTACTACGAACCTTGTATGGTCGTTCACCATAGCTCATAGCTTCCCAAAGAGTCACGCCGTAACTCCAAACGTCCGACTTGGTGCTGAATCTAAAGTAGTAGATGCACTCCGGTGCATACCATTTGAGCGGCCATTTGCCGGCTGCTTCGGCCTAAATCGATCCGAATGAGTCAAAACCTGATTGTCTTGTATACGCCGAACGATACCCCCGCTCTCGACGTGGATAACAAGCATACTCCAAGTGCATATGTACGAGGGGCACAATTGCACTAACCTTGTAATAATCTCTCCCGATCCCCAACGTCCGGCTCATGCCGAAATCAGATATTTTCGCAAATTGCGTGTTCACTAGAAGTACGTTCCGCGCCGCGAGATCTCGATGGACAAAATTTCTCTGCTCTAAATACTCCATGGCGAGAGCAACTTGGAGCATTAGTTTCAATATCACACCGATGCCAGTTTCCCTGGGGGAAAAAATATCTTGAATACTGTTTCTTCTGAGACACTCGTATATTCCGTGGGGATCGATCTTTGTAAGCATGATTTCGGTTTCGACGCAGAGCTGACGAACCTATTGTAGCGCAAAAATCGATTCAAAGGTCCTAACGGCGCTAGCTCCATCACCATCATGAGTCCCGTATCTATCTCCGATACGCCAAACAAGCGAACAACGTGAGGATGGTCGAGCGAAGCCAAAAGATCTGCTTCCTGGCTGAGAGCTCCCTGTAAGATGTCAGTGTGAGCAGTTTCGGTCACATTCTCCGGCCACTTCTGCTCGAGCTCATTCCAGCGGATTCTTCCTAATGCAAAAAACCTCACATCGGGGGGGCTCACCATTGAAGTCTGGGAGAACTCCGCACGTAAAGACTTTGTTGCGCATGGAATCTCATTTCCCTCGTGTTTAAGGATGGCTTTGTGCACTTGACCGAAGTTGCCGCAACCGAACATTTCGATCAGCTGAATGTGATCTCGCTGAATTTTCACGAAACCGTTGAGACATTTCTTGACCTCGTTGTAGGCCATTTCGGATTGTTCCTGAGTCAGCACATCGGCGAGAGCTGCAAGGGGTTTCTGTGATTAAACAGCGTAAATAGAATTCCGGCTTGGAATTCTTCTTCGATGTCCCATCATTCGACACTGAAGTATCCATCGTCTTGCGGAAGTGTCCTGTCGCATCGCTGGGAAATACCTTGAGCGAAATTCCTTTGCCTCTCGGGCGACGGAGGACCACTGAGGTTGTCTGCGCAGAGAGGATCGAAATCGTCCAGAGATGAGCTGTTTCTCCGTTCCAAGTTTTCTGAGGTTCCTTCAACTGCTCGGATTTCGGCTTTTATTTCCTGAATTATTTGATTCGACGTCTCCTTGATGGCTTCGGCTATTGTTCGCTCCAAACGATCCCTGGCAATCGGAAAGGAACTGAGTCAACGCTTGTATCGCCGAGAGTCGACCAGCGCTCCGTGATGACCGAGGCGAGAATTCTAATTGCTTCCAAAGTGAGCCATTGAGAATGCTCATTGTTCTCGTGGAATTTCAGATATTCCGATGCCGTCAGGCCGCCAGCCACGCGGACCACGGATGGCGCAGCGGGAAACCCGCGGTCTCGCGCCGAGCGCACGAGCATCCGAAGCTCGTCCGCCCAATCTCACCGGGGAATTTCGTCCACTTGCGGTATATCGACGTTCTCATCCGGGGTGTCTCTCTTCAATTTGTCGCGAATGAGCCTCGGACATTTCTCGATCAGAGAGTCAATCTCCTCGTAATTTGCCTCGGATAGATCGATCAGGGGTGGCGAGGGCGATAGGTCGATGGGGATCTTCATCGGTTTCCGGTATGCCAACAGTCCACTGAACTGCTGGTTGCGTCTGTCCTCGAAATTCTGGAATAGGGCAGAACTTATGATTTTGGAGAGCAAGATTCTCTCAGCCTCAAAACCCCGACTGAGAGCTCGATATCCGGACCATTGACTTCGAGAACTCGCGAATCCGAAACGAGCCTCTTCCCCAGCTCTCGACGTTTCCGGCTGCCAAGTATCTTGTTTGGTAAGCCTTTTCGACAGGAGCATCTCGGCTCATTGGCTCACCATATCAAGCGAGAGACGTCGCGGTGAGTAGTCGTAGGTCGCTTCAGAACCGTCGGGCTCTCTATTCACGTAGACAGGATCTTCTTCGGTCAGGATATCTCGTCGAGCTAGAGAGGTCCGTGGAGCTGGGACTGGAGCGGACATGGGTCCCGAACAACAATTTTCCGTCAACACCCGGGGACTCCCATCGGAGGACAGAGGTACGGTCATTCTGTCGGAAAATTCGAAGCGTTCTCTTGTCATCTCTCGCACAGATTCCTGGAGCTCGAATATCTGATCGCCGTATTTCCGATTGCTCATACTCGATCATTCACGGCGGCTCACCCGTAATGGTTGTAGTGCTGCTCCATGCTTCGAGCTTGTTCACAAGCCAGCTCATCGAGCAGCTTGCTCTCGTGACACTTTCGACCCCTCCTCATTGTGCCATCTAGGGACATGAAGTATTGGATGAAGCCAGGTAAGACATGGTCGATAGAGGAAGATTTCTGAAGCTTCGTTGACGCTTTACAGTTGCCATCTAATGTCCCGGGATAGCAGTTCTCGTCTCCACAACAAGCCGACTCCGCGCTGCGCATCTGACTCAATCTGTAATTTCAATCAAGTAAGTTCCGAATCCGCCCTCTCCGGGGTAAGCAGCGGGATTATAAGTACGATATGCTCCTCGACCATATTTCGACGGCCAGCGATGCCCTTCGGCAGAGAATGAAGCTCCCTTGAGATCAGAGACGATCTTGAGCGAATCGCGAGAAACCTCACCTTGGCAACGTCTTTGAGGAACGGTATGAAGTATTGGTCGCTTGAGTGGATATCGAGGAGACGATTTTGTTGAGGAGACCCTTGTTCGGAATTGTTCCGAAGAGCTTCGATTTCGGAGACTTGTTGAAAAAATGACGCGTCGCCTTCGATATATTCTTCAAAAAAGTATTCTCATCTAATGAATCTGGTCTGACAATTGCCTCGATCAGCGGACACCACAAGCCGTCGGCGAACAGTGTGTAATGGCTGACGAGCTGGGGAGCAGAGAACGAAATTAGAAACTCCTCTCCATATTCCATCCATCCCTTGATCGTGCCCTATCCGGAGATGTCATCTTCCAATCACTATAACCAGCCTGCACTCACCGACATCAGACTAGGGAAAGCGTATCCGTCTTGAATGGCAAACTCTCCACTCGACAACACATCAACCTTGTAGTGCTTCACAGAGAATGCGTGACTGAGGCATAGTGCATAGCTAGAATCGTCTCTTTCCCTGATCCTGCAATACGGAAGGAAGTCCACTCAGTCAGTGCTCTCGGATGCTCCGGGGCGAGCAGATTGTTTCATGGGCGATTTTTCCTTCCATTTTTATCGAGATTTCAGCGGGACCGAGAGATCCTTCTCGACCAAATGTTTCTGCTCCTCGGAGGAGTCCTATGTCGCGAGCCTTATTTTCCGGTGGATAACCTTTGCGACCGTCTGCGCAGTTTGTCAATAGCCTATACTCCTTTCTTTTCAGCGACCCCCGAAAGTTTTCAAGGAACTACGCCACGAACAAGCTGGCCATCACAGTCGTGCTGAGAGGACCCTCGCTTTGTTCGGCCGCCGAGCCGCGTCGGTCCCGAGCCCTACTATACATTATACGGCGGAGAAGTATCTCGAGAGGACAATGTCGTTCCCGAAATGTCCCCCCTCTCTCTCGGCCCCCGAGATCCTTCGCCATTGAAACTTTTTCAAGTCGAGGTCGATCGCTCGAAAGGCGCAATTTCCGGATTACATATACAGGTCTGAAACTACGAACGGGGGTCGGGCCGATTCCCGACCAGCTCTTTGCAGCTACTTACAAAAAGCGTCCGTCCGCATGACCGGCTTCTTCGATCCGAGCCTCAGCTTCTAACCGGCTCAGGGGTCCATGGAACCACGGCTGTATTTCGTGCAGTGTTTTGCTAATGAGCACACGGAGATCCGCGGCATCTTGTTGAGTCAGGTTCTCCAAACGATTCTCCTGCGGGAAGACTCGAGACTTGAGTTGAGCGAAACTGCATCTATCCCTAGCGTCGCGTGATTTCATTGACCATATTTCGCTTCATTTCGAGAGGAAAGAGTAGGTCGAGTCCAAGTGTGATATGAAACGGCTCGACCCACATTGCCCGAAAAGGGGGCTGCTTGTGTGCCTATAATTCCTTCACGGAGAAGAGGGTCGTGTCTGGGATCATCTCCCCCAGTTCTCTATTGCCGACGCGATTCGGCCCTGTTCCTTCAAAGCAGATGAATCGAAAAGCCCCGAGGTCGATACTCACGTCAAGACCCCACTGACGTGACCTCAGGAGGATGAACTTCTTCACTTGCTCCTCCGATAGACCCCAGTAGGTGGGTGGGAGGATTGCCTCGACGCATCGCTGGCAAGGGTGGAGAGGCTTCGTGGCGAGTCCCTCCACGTTTTCGACGAGCTGCAAGGGATCTCCGAAGACTTGGTCTTGAGTTCCAGCAAGGGCGAAACCACCGTCGGGAAGACACGAAATCCGGTAGTGGAGCACGCTGTGAATGGAGAAGTCGCTTTGGGCATGGTGCCATGAGTGGAATAAAACATATCAAAGCACCGGAAACAGGAGTGAGCACCATCCGACGGAGCGAGGGTGCAATCGAGCGATTCGAAATCATCAACGCTCAAGAAAGGAGGACGGAAATCGCTCGAGAGCTATATCGGAGAGAGATTTAACTCAGGAAATGGTTTATCGGATTCTTCAGCCGTCGAGCCGTTCAGGGAAATTTCCGTCCCGCGCGGATAATCGGTCTCTATTCAGAGCCAGAAAACCCCCCTATTCGGTTTCGCCGCCATTAACAACCAGGTTCGTGGGCTCTATGAACGATGTTTGGAACGTTTCCCGATCGCCATGCATCCCATGAAGGCCCAAGTCTCATCCTCACGAGAATGAAACGAGAGAGACAGAGAGATTCTCAGCTCTCTCGAAACCTGGTCATATGAAGTCAATCGCCGCGGAAGCGTAAAGCGGGTCGTCGCTCTGTTCGCGATGAGAAGGAATAACTCCCTCCTCGTATCCGGAGCCTTATCGAATATCTCATTCCTATGGAGTTCGGGGCCACCGCCATTCTGCTGATGAGGAGTAAGTTGCGAAACTCACCTTTTCTCGAAACACAATGACAAAACGTAGTCGTCTTTGGACTTCCGCAGCAGATAGAGTCCGTCTTTGCAACCGCGCTCACATAGGATCCATTCAGCAGTCTCTCTCGAAATGTTCCCGTAGTAATAATTCACTTTGTCCATATCGACGGCTGAAGTGGTCTCCGGCAAAGGGGAGAGCCTTGCGTCTGCCTCCTTCATAATCTCTCCTTGGCAGATGTTCGGTAGGAGATGGGAAAAAACAACCTCCGTCAAGCAACCTTGCTGCCTCGAAACGAGCCTATCCTACGGAATGGTGTAGGAGTGACGCGAGGTTTTCCGTGAGCTACCGTACTCAGCATGTGAGGAGAGTCGAGCTCCACGGGAAGGTCGGACGACAAGTTGACGAGTTTTCTGTCGACTTCTCAAGGCAAATCAACTCAGAGGACAGGCATGTTGGTGGGAGGGAGTTGAGCAGACGCCTCCGGAGAAGGAGGGTCTGGGGCTCTTTCGCCCCCGAGCCCTTGCAAGTATCGAACTGCTTGAGAACTTTATTTCGAAACCGCCGCGCTCAGATCTGCCAGCAGTCGTCACTGACATTTCAGAATTTCCCGACACTCAACGAAATTCCAAGAGAAGGGATCTCCGGGGAGAATGCGAAGTTTTCCTGCGTTCCTGAATCCCATACATAGGCTGGACGACCCTGGGGGCTTCCGATTGCTCCCGCTTACACGATCCCGAACTCCGCGCTCCTGTTTTTTCTCAAAGAAAGTATTTCTCTCGGGGAAGAATCGTCTTCATCTGCCTTCTGATCTCTACCACGGACCCTGCTTGGCAATGATTACATTTGGACCGCAAACTAAGATCTCGGCCGAGTCGGTCGTCTCCAGAAACGCCCTCTGGTGAGTGGCTGCGGAGACTGCCGCACTGGGCTATCACGCTTGCTCGCCTGGCTGACTAGCTGGCTGGCTGCCTCCGTGCCTGCTGGTTCAGCAGCCAATGCTGTGAGTGAGTGTTGCCGTCTTCTCCGCTGTCACCTGCTCTAAACGAGTGCACCGCATCTGTTTTTTAAGTATATAGTTTGATTCTGTTTTTGAGGACCATCGAGAGGCTCTGCAGCGATGTCTACCGGGGACGTGAGTGGGGAGACTAACGATGGTGAGTTTGAAGTGGAACACGGTCTGTTGTGGTTTTCGAACCCATATCTAAAGTTCAAGGTTCACCCACGTCTGCTGAAGGCGCAATCATGAAGTGGTACCCATCTGACGGAACTTTATGGTTTATATGGAATGCTTCCGCCTAGAACGGTTCAGTCTTCTATCTCAGACTGCTTCAGCGGAGGTTCCTGCCTAGTCCGTCGTGATCTCGAATGTCACAGTCGACTTGCCGAACTCGGATCGGCCGCATCTTTTTCCAAATCGAATCGAATGGACCTCCTCAAAGAGATCTCGATCGACCCGTAGAATCGATCTGCCCACCCCGGGGATGTCTTGGGCGAGCCGTGAACTCGGAATATGTATTAACCTTTGACATTTAGAAGCCTGAGTGAAATGAATTACTTCATTATTCGGAATTGCATCTATCGTGGGTCCATACCGAACGCGCGGGAACTATTAATTCTCCGTCGCGCTCGGTGACACTGCTCTCGGGGCTTGATTCTGAAAAGGAGCCCCAAGTGCCGCTGCAAGTGGTGGACGCAGTTCATGAGCTTCCATGGATTGAAGCGGATGGGAAAAGAGTTCACCATCGGGCAGTGGTATCGGAGCGTGCGCCTCTATCGAAGTTCGTTGGTCCACTCAGGGACTGGTGGGCTTCTGAGAGCGGTTACTTACACTACTTCTTCTGATTCGACACCTTCCTTCATGAAAACCTGGTCTACCCCACGGTCCGATCCGAGATGCGAGCAGGGGAATGCATGTGACTCGCTATTCTGCTTTCCCGAGCCCCTAGAATTTCATCCCGGAACTTCCAAGAGACAGTTTTCTGATAGTTGTCGGTCTGGTGAGCTTGCCTAAAGCAGACTTTTTCCATCCCATCCAGACGTCGATGAGGTCATGACAAGATACGCAGAGCTTGGCGGTGAAGTAATTGTGACCAACCTCGAGGCTACGGGAAATGGCGGAACTACACTGGGGCTATCGATAGCGGGTAATAAAAACCGCAACAAGATGTCCGTCTTTATCTGCGGGATCCATCCCAATGGGGTAGCTTCGCAAGAAGGCACTCTCAAAGTGGGCGATGAGATACTTGAGGTGAGTAAGCGTATGCTGCATTAGACTGAGGACAACAATAATTTCGGAACGAGTCCCTGACCATGTAGATAGGTGAGGCAGCGGCAGAGGAAGAGAGGGCATTCGTCTCGCGAAGGATTCTTCCGCCGATCTGACGAGCTCGATGTCATCCATAGAATCCATATCCGTAATCGTCCGCGTGATCCCTCGAATCTCACGAATGCACCCTAAACTGTCCCATTGGAGAAAGTCAGCCAAAATTTGAGAGTCCCCTGTCGGAGCCGCACCGGTCGATCGGCCCCGAATATTCAATACAATCGAAGCATCTCTCCCCTGAAGCTGATGATGAGCACTCGAATTTCGACCGGAGACTCAGCTGATCACCATAAATCGAGCAGATGGCGCGCTCGCTCTCGCACTCCCCCATTGGGTTCAAGAGCGGACTATTGCTTCTCGTCCGGTGTACTCCGAAGTCTGGAATTTTAGTATATGTATAAACAATTGCTGTTTTATGATCGCTACTAGAAGACAGCCTATCTGGTTTCTCCCCAACGAGTTTATAGCGTAAGCTTCGTGTCGCTCGCACGGAGCCTAATGAGCTCAACTCCTAAGATCTCTGCTGGCTTCACAGGTGAACGGTAGCGTAATCTTTGGGAGATCACATCTCAACGCGTCAGCAATCATCAAATCTTTCACTGGACCCATCTACAAAATTTCCATTCTTCGGTGAGCGTTGGATGACTTCTGCGTATTTCTTATTTCCCTGAATCGTTCAATGTTTCACCGAGATATTCGATTGATCGATCGCAACGATTTTCACCGCAGACGAGACAACGCAATGGAGGAAATGGCAGTCAAGCCACTCACAACCTATCCCCTACATTTGGATAACCAGGTGAGCACGAGGACTCTCCTATCTTCTTTTATGTACTGACGATGCACAAAAATGCGGCGACTCAACGAGGAATACACACGAGTTTTTGCTCCGCAGGCCGACTATTCATCCTACAAAGACATCAAGAATATTGTGGTTCGCAAGGGTAGCTGCCGTTTAGGTCTCATGATCATCGAAGGACGACATCCCGATGCGGGACAAGGGATATTCGTCTCGGACATTCAAGAGGGAAGCCCGGCTTTCCAAGCAGGTCTCGCCATTGGCGACATGATCCTTTCAGTCAACCAGCAAGACCTTGTTGGAGCGGACTACGAGAGAGCAGTACAAATTTTGAAAGCCAACGAGGGCACGGTCCAGTTCACGATAGCGAAACCCACTCGGGATCCGTCTAACTTGAGCGTCATCAAAAGGAAAGCCTCATCCTTTGAGGCCAACCAACATCAGTTGAACTCCAAACAGGGCTCTCATACGAGAAAATCAATGGGGCCTTTCAGTCGGAAGTGCGCCTCACCCACGGCAGAAATCCCTCATTCACCTTCCATGCAAGTACGTAGTCGTCTCGCCAGGCTTGTTTGACGTGGAACTACGCCGTGGGGGTTGGTTCGAAAAGAGGCGCCATGGCGAGGGTAGGGATCTATCGTTTGCCAAAAAGGACTCGACGGCTAGCCTGGACCGAGATCGAGCGGTGCCGTCGTCTACTCGGGCAAGCGACCCGATCGGGACTTTTGGTATACCTAGCGATCTTCCTCATAGTATCTATTTTTCAGTCTCAGCTAGCGTACACACCCCTCTCAAGATCGTCCTGCAATGCACCGCGGTATACTGTGAGCGAGAGCATAGTCACAGGCGAGGAGACAATCATTGAGATCTCGAGAGATAAAATCGGTCTGGGCCTCAGTGTGATCGGAGGGGCCGATACCCCCCTCGGCGCTATCGTTGTCCATGAGATTCTCGAGCATGGAGCAGCACATCAAGATGGCCGACTGAAAGTCGGCGATCAGATCGTTGAGTTGAACGGCATAGATTTATCCACTGCTACACACGAACAGGTGCGTTTCGGCACGTGGAGTGCGACTGATCTAGCGATCAAAACAGGCAGGAGTTGATTGGGGACTATAATCGAGAACGCGTTTTCCGCAGGCGATCAATGCACTCCGACAGGTCAGCTCGCCAGTTCGAATGGTTGTTTATCGAGACACGGAGCAGAATCTCAACGTCAACAACGAGACTTTCGACGTAGAGATTGCAAAGAAAGCTGGTCGCGGACTCGGTGTGTGTATCGTGTCGAGGAACGACCCTCCCGGCGGAGTTTTCATTTCGGAAGTTGTCGCGGGGGGAGCCGTCGAGCAGGATGGCCGTCTTTACCAAGGAGACGAGATTCTCGAAATTAATGGTCAGGATGTCAAGCAAGCTTCTCCCGAATATGCGGCTGCTCTGCTCAAGGTGAGCTCCGACTGATGATTGATCGAGCATCGGAGACGGTCGGCTGCGGCAGCAATGAGTCGGACCGCGCTCTACAGTGTACTGTTGCCGAATCTGGGGAAAACTCCTCCCATGATATTATACGGTTGTATGGTTCATCGAGGTCGGGTGAAATTGAGAATGTATGTCGAACTGAGCAGATGATTCATCTTTGCAGCTGGCCAACGGTAGCGTGAGCATGAAGATCGGTCGTCTGAAACCCAGTAAAAACATCTAACAGCGAACCTTCTCGGCGTTGTCGGATTCGAGAGTACTCCGCTCTAGTCACGCCGAAGGTCGAATGATTTCTTGAGAATCTGTTCAACGGCATGAAGTCGATTCTACGCTCGTTGACCTGGGGTAAGCTGAGGATGAGTGTAGAGCCATGAAACGCCCCACAGCGCCGCAGAATACGAGATATTCACGCCGATAATTGGAGCGTGCGATGCGAGAGTTGAGAGACAAAGAACCTGGGGAGGTTATACCCTCCCGCGTTCGAAGTCTGCGGCCGATTGAGACTCACTCTCCACATCGTTCCCGAATCAATCCTGTCCCGATGATGGGGATGTTGTACCTCCATACCCCAGTGCACCCATTATCTGCAAATAACAGATTTCGCTGGAAATCTCACTTCACAGAGGAATTCGGGACGGCCCCATTATTCTCAGATTCTGTCAGACTCGATCGATGGCCGGACGCGAACGAGCAATATCGAACCAACCCGGGAGGGGGGGTACATTCTCCACCCCTCGTGATTTTGTGCACGATCACGTCTCCGACGGAGAGGGAAAACATCGAGAACCTCTTGGTTCGGGACTCTTACTGCCAGTTCTTCGAGCGAATCGAAATTCAACGATAGCCACCGCGCTCCCCTCGGAGCGAACCAAGAGTTTGCTCTACGGAGGGGTTCCTGATCTGAATCAAATACCTTTCCGGAGAATCCGATACAACATCTCTGCGCTGATCCTCAGCATTCGGGGCCGCGATAAAGAGGAACCCAGGAGCGATGTTTCCTCGTCGGTGTTCGATTCTCTTGGATTTATCTCTGCGAAAATGTCTCGACGTCTGCCTGCATTCTCGAATGTGTGTGAGAGCAAGCTTCCCTAAAGGCAGGATATCTCGCCCTCAATGGTGCCAAACCCACCGCGACCTCTGCCTCCTAGTCGAGGGCGTGGACAGTATTTCTCGTGCGAAAGTTTTCGATTGGTTCAAGAAATATGAAGGAACGACCGGAAGTGAATTGTTGAAACCTATACATGATCCAGATAGGTAATTGTACGGGAGGATCGAACCAAAGGATTAAAAGTAAAGCAAGAGCCTTTGTATTCTGTTATCTTACTGATGTATCTCCGACTCTTTTGCAAACATCTTCAAATAGATAGCGTTGTTGTCGTTACTTGAACGATCATGTCAATGCTTACTTATATGATCACCATGTATCGAGATCAAGCGTTATTCGGTGTAAAAAGGGGTAAAACGCTTTTCTTGGAATCCTAGACTGGTGAGTTAGGTATCTGTTTCGCCATGAAATGATATCGCAGCCATTGTTGGTTCTTAATCATTGTGTATTTATACTCCTCTCTGACCTCGTCGGCTGATAGCCATGATCACAACAAGCATGATATCGACGATTATATATTTACATTAGTCATCATTTCACAATACTCTTCTCAGGATAGAGGCATTGACACAACGAGGGCAAGGGAACGGGGCAGGAGTCGGTTCGCGAGTCGGTGAGGGCAAAATCGCTCGAATAAACTGTTATAAGGAAATCTTTTCATTGATGTAATCTCTCATTCCTCCTCTAGAGTCATTCTGATCAATGATATGCTAGCGATTTCTCTTGGTAGAGCAGCTTAGAACAGAGAAAGGTCAGCCTCCAAAGCGCCTCAGAATTCAAGACACGGGGAGGATCTCAGAGCAGAACTTCCCTCGGTTCTGTGCTTCCTAGGCACCGAATCCGTGATCTAGCTTATTCTCCTTCTGTAAAGATTGAGGAGGGAGTTACGTTCGGAGCGAGCGATCTCCCCAGAAGCGAAAAGACACGCTCCAGTTTGGATCCGTTCACGGAGCATCATTGGTTCGATAACGTCAATCACTCTGCTTTGTGAGCTGTAAGCACGTTTGTTATTTCGAAAACATGAGAGCGTATCAATGTTACCTCAGTATTCCGTCTCCTTTGGCGACCTCGATTATCAGAGCTTTGAAAAACTCAGCGGCTCAATATAGCACTTACATACTATAGTGTATTTTTTAGAGTACTTTTTTCTGCGTTTTCGAGTAGATCACTTTCTCGCCTCTAACATCGCTATCGGTACACGACGCTTATGTACATGCTTGCCGTATTGTCTCTGATATTCTGGCGCCATGGCTCTGATATTTCTCGCTACCACAAGGGCGATTCACAGGAGCGTCGATGGTGGAGTTCCGGGTGCCCCTGCCTTCGAAAGAGTTCGGCATGCCTCGAAGAGGGCGAATGGTGGATCACGGGTGCACAAGGACCAGATGATCCTTTTTCGGAACAGGAGAATATTTCCTACCCGTCCAAATATGGAGGATTCGATCGAAGATAGAATCCGATTAAATGTTGCACAGTCTCCTCGCATACAAGGGTACTCCAGGGTGATTCATGATCACGGTCTGGTGGATCTGAGTCATGGGTATTTTGCTCGTCGACGAAATATCTCGCCATCTGCCAGAACAGGGAAATTATCGTCAGCGCATGTGCGATCCACTACCCACGTCCTACTTCTAACTGCGGAAGTTGCATTTACCTTTTAGAAGTTGAGCACCATTGGAAAAATCCCACTACTTTAGGATCGGATTCAGTTTCGCTCACTCTGAGCCTCGCTTGCGTGAGCTCCACATCTTCAGTTACGATGAGGAATGTTTCTTCTTGGACTTTGAAGATCTTATAGATGACTCCGGAAATCGGTGGTAAGATCGAGTCGGCTTTCGTCGGGCTCTCGGTACCGAAATGCTCCTCATGAGAGCCTATAGGAATGAAGCTCATACGATCTTCGTCGAGTACGAAGCTCTCGTGGCCAAGCTTGAACGCGAGAACAAGCCCGTCGAGAAAGCACAGCTGATGATCGGCGGTGACACCTAGACTCGAGCACTCGAGCTTCTGGATTATCCTAAAATTCTCGTCAACTTCTACGAAGTAGCCGAGCTTCTCCGTGTCGAAGAAAATTCGTCGACTCGCTTCGTCAAAGCATCGTGGCTCGAGCGCGAGACCCTCAACCACTGGCAGGTCAACTGGCACAGGCTGCAGGTCTTCCGTCAAGACGAAATGCTGATGATTGACACTGTAGAAGACTCTGCCGAACATCTCAATGAAATAACCATTGGCGCCTTCCGAGTATCGTTCGATGACGGTTTCCCTGCCTGAGAGGCTTTCCTTTTCGGCGATAGTGTTGCTTCGCAGGAAATTATGCGTCAAGTAACGGGATTTGTACTGTTTGACCTGTTGTGGAAAAGACTACAGTGAGCTCGGGCGTAATAATCATTTGAGCTTGCCGGTGCGAATCTCGCCCACCGTGCTCCTCGAGAGCGCTTCTCTCCTGGACTCAATCTCTCGTTGGAAACTTCGGTGGGGACGCCACGACAGGCGAGGAAGCCTGGGCAGCCCTTCCGAGGTTCGTTCCCCCGTGGACGCTCCCATGCCGGAATAGAACAAGTGAGAACAGAAGTTGCGAAGTCTACTCGCCTGGAAGTTGTAGCTGCCTTCTCTGGAAGAGTCGAAATCACCCCAATGGCAGGGTGCCCAGGTTCTCCCATCGAAAACATGAACGCGGCCGTCGAAGGACTCGTAGACAACCTAAGTTCAAAACGATTCGAAGAGAACAGCACATAAATATTCGCAATCCCCGCGATGAGTTGACACACCTTCGATTTGAATTTTGAGAGGCTTCGCCAGCAAGTCTCGAGCTCACGCCCTGCGACGAGATTCGTGACGCACTTTTTTGGCATGCTCCGCCGCGTCCAGGCTGTCCAAAGCGTTTAGCAGAATGGGAACGGTCTTTTCCCTGCGGTTGACATCACCCTGGAATGACAAGATTTCCCATGTGGTATGCAGCGATTGCGTTCGCCGATTATTATTGAGTTCATTTTATTTCATGTTGATAGTGTGAGAATTATTCTGACCTCAATCCAATTCAAGAAGAAGCGCAGCGCAAAGGCGTACCCTCGGAGGCCGAATACATCCACAAAGTCCCGAATGATGTACGGTAAAACCCGGTGCATCAGACTCGGAGAGATGTTCGAAAGCAGCTCGACTTGAGAATCGATGATCCAGCGGAAGATGTTCCGGCGGAAACTGTTGTCGAAAACGAGCAAAAGTCGATCGCTTTGCAGATAGTCAAACATCGTGTACAACTCGAGCAAACCATCGGGGCTGAGGTCGCTCAAGGCTCCGGTTGAGATGCTCTCCAAAACCCGATTAAATATGTTTGATGACATTTCTAAACGCAAATGATCGGGCTCGAAGGCTTCTCGGAAACCCCCTCGCAGCATTGAGTCGAAGTAAGGGATTCGACACAGTGTGTCTCGATTGCAGAGCACCTCGACGTCGTCTGAACACACCACTGAGAGATCACAACCCTGAGGCGAAGGTTCGAAATCTTCAACGCTGGAGCTATTTGATGTTTGCTCGTAAGCGGCGAGATTCGCGCTGGATGCGATGAGATCTCCGTGGACTCGCTCCAGGAGCCCCGCCACCTCAAGCGCGAGATTGGGGAACCTATTCGAATGAAAGGGAACGACTCCCTCTGATGAAAAATGCGGCGGCTGCGTCGACCACGACAAGACAGAACGGAGAACTGTGTTCACATCGAGAACTGTGTGCAATGGGATGATCTCAGGGTTGAGATAGTGCTTGAGCTGAAAATGACTCTTTGAGTGATTGCTCCCCTAGGGAACGATGTACATAGATTGTAAGCCGAAGGTTTGCCGAACTCATGAAGTACCTCATCCTCGGAGAGTTGGAGGAAAGTTTTTCCGAACGCGAATCGGTGGAATTCAGAGCGAAGATAGTTTCTGATCGCCATCAACCTATCAGGCACAACCTGAAGCTCTTCAGAGAAGCGTAGAACCAAGTGATGATTTTCCGTCACGGAGTCTACGGAAACGTACCTGGAGCGCGAAACTCCGGTCAAAGATGCTGCCAGATTAGCCCAAGGGAGAGCGGAATCTGGAGCCTATGGAAAATACAATGCTGGAGGAGTGTGTTTCTTCATCCTACTGTCTGAAGGTAAGCAGGAGAGCTACAGACTAGAGAACGGTGGAAGATTTCCCGAAAAAAATCATAATGTCGAATACTCACTGACGAGTGTAAAGAATCCTTAGGAGGTTTTCTACCATCTCGTTGTCAAAGTCTAGATCAATGTTCGAACCATGACCCAGGCTCGAGCTGTTTTTGACCATGGCCTGTTCAGGGAAGGAGGGGATTCGAATCAGGAAATGCAATAATGGTCTGATATTTCGATTGTCTCAGGCCATCAGAAATTCTCACTGCTCGAGCCGGTCTGTCTCTATGGAAGGATGCTTGAAGGGCAGAGAGAAGGAGAGCCACGATGATGCCACGACGCCTTGCCGCAGATCGGCTCTTTGAAGTCGAGCTCACCTGTAGGACGTGTTTGTGACAATGACTCCATCGTCGGTAACCTTCCTTGGTGGTAGCGGAGATGATGGCGAAGTCGGTGTTCTCACGCGATCTTTGATTCCATTCCCGACGAAAGCACCTGCGCCATGAATTCCCGGTAGCTGCTTATTTATGAATTCTGAGCGCGAGCCCATCATCAGGAACTTTCATTCCTGAATTTCGAGCACGGGTCTGCAACTTTCTTAAATGGATTACCAACCTCGGTGCGTCACGCACGAGCGTGTGCTGTAAGAATCTCGCTGGTTGGCGCCACTTGATTGATGAAACGTTGAGACTGACGGACTGAATCCATTCCCAGCAAGCAGAATAATCCATGATGCGCACTGAAATGTTCGAGTAAATCAGAAGGGTTTCTAAGAATGCTGACTGACAATCACAACTCTCTCAGTACCGTGAGGACGGCCGTCTGCTGGGTGAGGCTTCATGGGAGATTTCGCGTCTTCTTCGATAAGCTCGGCTCCCTCATTGACAAGGATCAGTGTCACGCTTGACGTCACGGTGGGATTCGTAAGAGAGTTTTCGAGCCAGTCTTCTCGATTTTCCAATGCGATCACTGCTTCAGTGATGGGATGCGGGATTCCGCTCTCGCTTGTGCTCTTCCAAGACAATTCGGACTGAGAGTGAGACGACATGCAAAGGGAATCTCATTGCTACCAGAGCTGTTTATCCATGAGCTGCGACTCGACGTGCTCCCGCACCCGGTCCGGAGCAGCCCCGAAAACTATAGCATGGTTTTCCCACAAGTCTTCCTGTCCGGTCCAAGGGATGCGATCGGGAACTTACTCTCGAACAAGCGGAATGACCCCTATCCTCCTCCTGAGGATCCGCCACCCCCTCGCGATCTGCCGCATCCGACTTAAACGAAGATACTACTTAGGTGACAGTGTAGGAAAACGGGACCTGACAGACGCGGGCCGAGCCTCGGATCGGAACAATTCTGAGCCAAGAATCTGTAAATCGAGCGCATAATTTTCGATGCAGAGAAGCGAGGAACGAACTTGGTCAATCACCCCCGGGCCGCAGATTCGGTCAGCATTAAGAGTAGTGTTCAATGGCGTCAAGTGGGACTCAGGAGACGTTCTGCTCGCGACGATATGATTCACGACTCGAGGAGCTCAAGACGGTCGGTGTTTAGTCACCAGGTCCTCGAGAACAGCTTCGAGTCCAATCTCGTTAATACTAGAGAGATCTCGAAATTCACTACCAAAGCCAATGGCCAAGTGGAATGACAATGCGAGCTCGACGATGCCACTCTCCCCGTGAGACGCAACACAATCCGAGACGATATCTTCAAGAACAGGAAAGTGTGTGCTCTTGAGAGGTGAATTGACGACAGAAAATCTTCGAGCTGATTCGAATGAAAGATTTCACCCAGCATCACATCATGAGGGAAACTCAGCCGGTCAGAACGATATCGACATTAAGAGGAAATTCGAAAGCTCTCTTCGTTTGATAGTTGCGGATATTCTCTACTGAGGTTCTATTCTCACTTCGGCTGTCCTTACACTATTCAGAGGCGTACCGGAGAAGAATCTGTACGAAGGATCATTTTGCTTACCGCCCGTCCCTTCCGCAAGATCGGGCTTCGTTTTGAAATCGCCGTAAAGATTTTTCCGCGGTACGCCAATGACGATAGCGGGAAAGACGTCTCCGTGACCATACAGCGAGTTCGGCTGGAGTATGAGGGGCATCGGGGAAAAATCAGCCCCAGAGGCACTTCGACGCTTTCGTGTGCGGACGCCGGGACGTCGCAGATCAGGAGAGCCCAAGCACTCTAAATCGGTGAGGACATCCGTCCAAGGTTCCGAGTACGATTCTCGCTTCAATCAAGTTATGTCACACAGCCTAGTGGATCGCTGGGCTCCGATTACTAAGACAAAACGTTTCGGAGACGGAATACGATCACCTAGAACTCACCTCTTCTACAAGGAATCGTCGCGCGTGAGCGAATCAACGTCGAGTGATTCAACGAATGTGGAGATCAAGATTCTTCTGTTTTGAGTTTCAATGCAGATTTCGGAAGCGTTTCGCAGACTCCCCCACTGACGTCGCAAGTCACGTATTCCACAGATTTTCCATATGCATGCGCAGGACACCAACGTTCTTCGAGAATCCGGCCCAGACCCCCGGGGGTCATCGGAAGATCATCTGAGCGCGATCCAGCCCAGCTTCATTCGATGTCCGCCGAACCAAACCCTAGGTCTCTGGGCCTACTCATCCGACCAGATCGGGTTCGGGAAGGAGCTTCTACAGGAGATCGTAGATGTTCTCCTCGCGTACAGAGCCTTTCCGGCTGTCACAACGGAAAGGTCTTCGAGTCGCTTCCATCGGTCATCCTGTCTGTCGTAGAATCTAAAGACTCCACCACGAGCCTGTCCGGTTTCTGAAGGTCTGGGTGGTACAGCTGATCACAGCGAAAGTGCCCGGATCAGCGGAAAGGCCATTCACGCTCACAGTTTGGAGTAAGTGACAAAGCCAGTGAACAGACGACCCAACCAGCAGCCGCCCAAACAGCCGTAGCAGCCCCGCTGGTTCTATAGAATCGTTCTGGATACCGCTCTTACCACTGCTTCCGTAGAAGCAGCGAAAAAGCAGTCTTGTCGCTGGTACCTTAACAAGGGCGCATGCGTCACTAGACAGTGACAAGAGCGCTTGCTGCATCCGGGACTGTCTGTATTTCCGCCTCCCTGACAGACCGGCTTTCTTTCAGTCAATGATCAGCGGTGCTCTGCGGTTATCATGCTGAAAGTTTGAGCAGGCCGCCCATCAGATTGTGATGGAAATTGGCCACGCGGGCCCCGAACGAAATGAGCTCAGAAACTAGAAAAAAAGCAACTCTTGACGAAAAGCGCGTCGTTCAGAGGTGGTGCTCTGCGAGAATTCGCGTTTGAGATCATGAATCATGAGAGAATGCAATGAGAGCGGGAGTCATAAATCTGCGGCATCCACGATAAGAATCGAGAACGGTGGATCTTGGCGATCTCACCTCGTCGACCCTCGCACCTCGGTGATCTCGGGCGCAGACTCATGTCGGATAGAAACGAATGGATTAGAAAACTGGGGTATCAAAATGGGGTGAGAATCACACGAGCAGTATTATTTTCCGGCGTTTCGGTTCGAGAGATCTTGAATTCGAAGATTTCTTCGAATTGTTTTCGAAACCCAGTTATTCAAGGTGCGAGCCAGGACTTCGAGGGGCCTCCCATTTCGAGGCAGGGAACCCCCGTCGATTTATGAGCTTTTGTCGGAGAGAATCAGAAACTGTTGCCGGGATACCGATTCGATATACAGCGGGAGAAATTCGGCGGTCGCTATGAACTTCGGAACTGATTCGCATTATGAACTAGATTTTCCGTTTTGTGTGACCGCCGAATCAGCGCCGGATTGAGGCACGGGGAATGATGAATAATCAAAAATCAACGAGTCTTCTCGAGGCATACAGACTCTGCCCTCCTTCCATATGTATGATTCTCTGGAGCTAGGATATCGGGTCTCCCGCGAGTGAAGAATTCCTGGATGACCTCCTCGATGTAACATTTTTTTTTATGTACAGTTTATACAGGCTGCCGATTCCGAAGAGGACTTGAAACCTCAGCGACAAGTTGCGGATGATCGGAGCGCTGTCCCCGGAGGGATCCCCCGCAACTCTAGAGGTCGAAGCGCTGGATGGTGGGCCGAAGTGTTCGGAGAACTTTCATACCGATGAGAACCGTCAAGACAGCGATGCTCACAAACCCCACACGGGTCAAACGACGGGTCCAACGATTGACCTTTTGGGCGAACATATCTCCTCTTAGAAGGAACGTTTTCATGGATTCGATCTCACTGTGGGAGGTTTCGGAAACCGAAGTCGGAATGCCTGGAAACTTGAACGAGCTACAGAGCGCGAGCATCCGATCTTCACGCAGACCGAATCGCTTTTACCTCGCTCACGGAATCGTATGAATATATACGTGTATTGATTTGACCCAGAGGAACGAACCAAAGCTTTCTTGTGAACCACGAATTCCCGGTATTTTTCTGGACTCGCCAGGTACAGCTCACACCTGGAACAATTTCAAGTTACGTTAATCGCAGAAGCAGAAATAAAAGCTCATCGATTGCATCATTGAACAGTATGCGGTTACGAACTTCGCCAGGGAGATCGCTAGACGCGCTTCAAGTCCCATGATTTCCGCTGCATCATCGGCGCTGAGGATCCCTGCCTCGAGAGCGATCTCCTTATGTCGCGCGAGATCCTGGAAGCAGTCTTATTATTAGTTGTATCCTTATGACTAGAGGAAACCTTGCAGATCGACCGCCGAATCCCATCTAGCCGCAGACCTGCTCGGGAAAGGATATCAATAATTCGAGACGGACCTGAAGACGGATGTTGATCAGAGTTTTCAACTCAAAGGCTTCCAGAGGATTGTCGAGACGATGAGACTTTGTTCGATTTATGATCTCTTGCGCTGAGCACTCGACCGAGTCTAGAGTATCTCTCAAACACGCTGTCATTTCTGGGACTTCTCCCACTGGGTAGATTCCGGATAGAGCGAAGTCCTCCTGGTTGTTCCTCCGGATCACCTCTGCGCCTAGAAACAGTCTCGAAAGTGACGAGGTTCCGGCGAAAGCGGTCGAGTGGTATCGGATTTACCGCGATTTCGAATTCCGGGTGTCTTCATTCGATCCGTAGGTCCTCTCACGGGTGATTGCCACTCGTGATCGACTGCATTTCAGACTAGCTTTCGCATGAGCGAGTGAAATCGGCGGCATACGGGCACGGAACCTAAGGATCTGTCTCTTAAACAGCTCAGAACCACCAGGTCATTCGAAACCGGCTGATTTACTGCTTAGATGGCCAGGGCGTCTGCTATGGTTTGAATTACTTGGCGGGACATGGGTCATCTTCCACTTTCTAAATCAGGCTTTCTAACGTACAATTGGTTCCGTCACGTGCAATCACGGTGTGTCACCGAAATGAGCAATTACGCCCCGGAAAAAATCGTTTTGCGCGGAACACTCTTGACATTCTACCGAGCGGAGAAAACTGCGCCAGGAGCGCACCGTTTGCTTGTGGAGGCTCACGGCGGTCAGTCTCTGACGTGAGGTTCTACAAAATCCATTCCGACTTCGTGAATGGACATCTCCGAAAAAAATGGAAGACGACGCCTAGGAGGCATTATTAGAAGAAGACAGCACTAAGACCCAGAAAGAGCTCGCCACTCTTCACCGAATGTAGATTAGGCAACTATTTCGAGACGGCTCTACGCTCTGGGAAAGATCTGGAGGCTCGGACGGTGGGTGCCTCATGAAGTGTCTGGAAGGCAGAAGAAAAAGCCGTCTGACCATGTGCAAAGAACTACTCCAACGGTTCGAGCCGCTTGGAGAGCCCAGTCCGAAAGTTCAAAAGCCGAACAGGTTCGGTGAAAAGATAATGCTTGTGTTTGGTGGGGTACGCGATGAGTAATCTACTTTGAACTTCCACAACCGGGTGAAACAGTCATTTCAACACGCTATCAACAACAACTGATCAATTTGGCGCAGAGCGGTGGCCCAATAACGGTTGAGTACCAAGACCTGGAGACAGAAATTGCTCCTGCTCCACGATAACGCACCCGCGCAGAAGCCGAAATCGACCCAGGAAACGCTCGCTGAGCTGAAGTAGGAATAGCTGCCCCACCCCCGCCCTCCTCTCTAGATTCGGCTCCGTCCGACTACCACTTGTTCGCGTCGATGGGCTGCGCACTGAAAACCAACACTTCGCGACCTGCGACGATGTGAATAATTGGCTGGTCTCATGGATCGACTCCAAGGGTGTAGACTCCTACCGCAAGGGCATCCGTGACCTGTCAGGGAGATGGGCAACGTTAGGATTACCGTCAGAAATCTACCAAACAACGCGGACAACCCCACAGATTAGCTAGTGAAGGCCATGAAAGAAGATGGCCACGAGTGGGTCGAAGCCCCACAACCGGGACAGACCTCAAGAACCTCGTCAAGAGGAAGTTCGGCAACAAAAGTCTTACCGAGGTACTGGCTGCGGGATACCTCCGAATAAGGGCCGAAAGCGATTTCCTACGAAAGCTCCAAGAACCTGGTGCACGGGACGAAGAAGCATACCTCGACGCGTCCGAGGGATCAGAGGGCCTGAGCGGAATCATAAAGCTCTTGGCGAAGCTGAGCAAATGCTTCCCAAACCACCTGCTTGACGCATGCCATCCTATTGGGTCTGCCATTCCATCTCACACAACAATACAAAGTGTTGCGTCCGACTTTCCTGAGAGATTGAGGATATCTTATGACCAACGTAGACGTCGTATCAGTGAGACCCAAGAAAGAGTCCAGAAAGTATGGAGGATCAAAGATAACATCCATGGGTCCAAAATGAAAAAATATTCCTCTTACCGAGAAGCTCGTCGGTAATGGCGTCAATTGAAGTAGGGGGCCGAAGCCCTTGGTAGGACAAGTACCTAAGTCCCAGTATCGAGCCGGAGGCCTTCGTGCGTTGGCGCGGTAACTGCGCAGACGCAAGTATTCGGAACATGCCCACGCTCCCAGCATGCCCTCTCTTCTCCTGTTCATCCTTTATATTCCGCTCTTCCGATCGAGGAGTGGTGATGAGGTGCGCTGGTGCTGTCGCGAGCTGCTCAATCTGCGAAGAACTACTGGAAGTCCGAGCTCGGGTAGCGAGGGTCACTGTACATATGTTTTCAGTAGACCTAGTCGGCCGAGGAACGCGACCTCTAAGGCTGCTGGGGTCAGGAGCCGAGAATCCTCTTCGAAGTTAGAGTTCCCCTCAAATCGCGTAGGTCTATGACAGAAGTGTAAGGTCAAGGGCTTTTGACGCAGGACACACGCCTGCTCATGACGATTACGGTTACGCCCAGGTCATTCCGAAATCTCGACCGGTTCAGTGCATACGTCGGAGACGAGCCAGCGCCCATATGTAGGTACGTATGAGTCCCCTGTGGAAGCCTGTAGTTCATCACTAAGACCAAATGAATTCCGTTTGTTTGTGAAACGGATGAGTCCTCGAGTGTGTTATCCGAGAGTGAGCACCTCCAACCGCAACGAAGCTGCTACAGATATAGATTCGAGGCTCGAGCATTGAGTTCTGTATGCAGAACCGATTGCCTGTCACAAACGAAATTAAAAACTGACCAATACCTTCCGTTCGCTTAAAATATTAGATATGAAAGAATGGGAGGTCCGGGAGAATCCTCTGTCAGCAAAGGAGCCGGAAGCTTGTTAGCGAGAAACCAGAACCCGAGTCCTGTGTTTGGGAGTCCTCGCTCTATCTAGCCTTGCGATATAGAGGCTGAAGAGGATTGGAGAGAGTGGGCAAGCTTGATTGGTATAGATTGGTGGATAAAGTGACCCGTTGGTATAGATAGTTCGTCAGAGAGGTACTCCCAATGTGTGAGAAAAATGCAGGTATCCTCTTGCATGTACCCGAGGAATTCGAGCAATGGTTTGTTCATTCCTCTCTCTTCTAAAATTCGCCACAGCTCCCTCCGATCGATTCGGTCATAGGCTCTCGTGGCATCGAGCGTCCCCAAAATGCTCAAATACTGACGGAAGGATCTCTTTCGATGTTCGAGGGGCAGCTTATGCTCCTCCCAAGGACAAATGCTAGAGCAGTCCTAGGCCCCCTCGCCAATCCCGGGTTTTGATAATGGCTTGGAGAAGCTATTGAATAGAGACGCAGTTGCGAATCAGGAATCACTCCTGGGACTTCCCCGCTTCCCAAGGCGCTCGCTGAGAACTTCTCTCGAGAACTACCATCTATCAGGCCGAAGGAGAAGATGAGCTGACCGCACGGCTTCTACGATACGAGATATTCAGAAGTGTTCAAGAGCTCGACGATTCCGGGGAGCCGACCGGGAGCAGCGACTGACTCGTCCCAGCTACTCTCCGAGCTGAAAAACGGGGAGCATTTTTGATGCCACCTGGAATCGATGTGACTTTTCCGGAAGAGCCAGACGGGACCAAACGGAAAAAGCTCTGGTGAATAACAAAACTGTGATGGACATACGGCAAATCCGGATGATTGTTTGATGCTGGCTCGCGCAAGACCGTAAGAGAAGTGAAGGTAAAGGAGTCGCAGAGGCAGAAATAGGGTCAAGCCGCAGTGACGGCAGACATGGGGCTCATGTAGCAGAAGCTAAGGAATTCGGCAGAAACGCTCGAATTCTGCGTGATTCAAACAAAGCTTCGCCCGTCAGCCGCGCCGTGGAGCCTTAGGGTCTCAAGTATTATAGCAGCCATGATGCGAAGCACGAACTCGCTGGGGTGTTCGTTCGTTTGGTGGTTCGCTCCCACCTGACTTCCGTGAAAGGCCGTCGCCACAGACGAACAGAAGTGGAAATCGCTCAGAAAATTTTCGGTCTAATTTACCGTTCCGACAACTAATTCCCTTTGCAGTCTCTTGAGCAGGAGCGGGCATCGGGTGATTGGGCGCCCAGCGGGAAACGTCGCTGCTCGAATGTTCTGCCAGGCGATTGCCGAATCTCAGAAAATTCGACAGTTCTTATAGAGATCCTCGGATCTTGGCTGAATATGCCAAAATCTGCTCTCGACTAAGATCCACTGTTAAGCATCGCTTCAGGATGCTACGTGAAATGTTCAGGGAGAAGATTCCCCCTTATGCGAGCACGTTAAGAATATAATATAAGAAAATTACTTCTGGGATTCATTTCGATTGCGGTATGATTGTTGACGCAAAAAAACGAACGTGTCGTCATGAGTAACGCGACGACCATGTCAATGATCATATGATCATTTTCGGTTCTCCGATACGCTGGATGAAATTCGCTGGGCCGAATCGCTTTTCGGGGAAGGAGCCATGCGTTCAGGGGAGAGTCCCTTCAGACCAGTGGTCCCCAATCACGGATTCACCGTGGTCCTGTTCCTCCCAGAGACAATGGCAATGTTCTAACCCACCTCGAGCGCGTGTGATCAATGTGATCAACCAGCTAAGAAACTATAACAGTGGCGACGAAGATTCCAAAGCTAAACACGAACTTGAAGGCTCTTTTGGTAGTGTTCCGCGAAACAAATGGTGGACTCGAATGAGCCCTTGAAGGTGGCCGATAAATCAATGCAACCACGCTTCATGCTTCTTGACCGCAACGAAAGCAGCATAAGCAAATCGCCGATCAGAACCATTACCACTTCGAACCATTCCTAGATTGCTTCGAGGATTCATACGCAGGCCGTCCGAAGTCGCAATCAACTAGGTTACCGAGCTAAAGGTGAAGAAGAAATGTTTGAAAAGAAATAGAACCCGGGAGCAAGGTACATCATGAAAACAGGCCCACGAGACGGGGGGGCTACGAGACTCTGATGAGAGGGAACAGCGAAGTGAAAAGGTATCCCGATTTCGTGGTCCTACTGGCCAAGAGAAGACTGAAATCGAAAACGATCATGTTCGAAGTTCATGATGGGTTCACGGCGTGCAGGGCAGTGGTGAAACAGACAAATCAATAGGCAAAACCATTGAGTGAAAGAGACACCGCGTGAAGATTCCGAATCCCGCAATCTGCCAGGGCGGCCTGCACAGGGCCTCGAGCGATCGAGTTGCCTGCGCAACCCCTAGTAACGGATCCGCGTACGACTCACCGCCTCATTTCACGAAGACGAACTCTCGCGCTCGATGAAATATGACAACCGTGTCACGGGCCTGATGGAGAATAGTTGGTTTTTGCGATCGCAACTATGCCACCATCTTGCCAATGCAGCGGGTCAAGTCCGCAGCCGAGAGGTTGGTTCGCAAAAAGTCGTCCTGATGTCCGATCGTCACCGAATTGTGGCTTACCTCTAGACGACGTTGGGAAAAGCCGTCCACGTGATGCAGTAACGACTCCCCGATTCCGCTGTAGCTCTGGAAATCGTTGGCGGTGGGAAAGAAATTTCGAAAGACACCTCGACAGAGTCTTCGTGCTGCTGATGCTGCTGTCGGGGAGCCTCTCGTGACTCTTTGACGTGGCGTCAGGCTTTTATGCGCTCCCTTTCGATAGCTCAGTTTGATCAGCAATGTGTGATGACCTGCTGAACAAACTCGGGAGTTCAGAGCTACTCGTTCCCTCGCGGCCGCTGCACCGTCGATCGACGTCCGGCTTGGTCGAAGTCGGCCAGCATGAATTCTATGGACGGGGCGAGTAACTCGGAAGGTTTTACCGCAGAACACCATATTTTCGTCGTGAGCCAGGAACCCGCCTGCCGGGCGAAAGAAAACGCCTCACAACGGAATCCCCTTTTCCAAGCTATGCATTATATGATCTGCCGCCGCTCGGATCCCATCGCATCGATTTGATTTGATCAGGAAGTTTCTCCTGCTCTTGGCTTTTGGACGATACAGCTATGTCTCTGCCAATGCCGATTAATCCCTGATGGATTCGCGACAATCAGATCGTGTCCGAAGCTCAACGAGACCGAATTCCAATAGCGAATATGAAAATTGCCACACGCTCCCGCGATCGCTTTTTTCACGAGGGGCACCTGCTCGTTCGAGGCGGCCTGTTCAAATATGTAGAGAAGAAAAAGCAAAGATATCGACCGATCGGACTCTTCCTCATTTTCAGCCAAATTCAAGGCACTGACTGTCATTTGTACAGCAGTTTTCAGATACTCGGTATTTTTGAATCTCGCGCAATCAAGCTCCGATCGAGTGGTGAAGCTGTTCCAGTTGCTAGCTCGCAGTCTCCCCGAGCCCGAACGCCAGCCGTCTTCTGCAGCGAAATGGCTAATGAACTTTCCAGTGCCGATTGAATCGCTCATCGTGGACCGATTTCCTCGGTCACAACCTTTATAACACTATTCTTGTTTACTTCTGTCATAAAGGACTCTCGCCTATAGCGGAGGCTTTCTGCCACCTCCATGAGGTCTATCATGACGGTATGCTGCAGTACATGTTCCACTCGCCGAACTCATTCGGGCGCGTACGAAGAAAGAGGGGATTTCCTCATTCCGGATGAAAAATTATTGGTCTCGGCTCCTCGACTTCGGCTCCGCGACTTCCCCCGATACTCGCGGAGATTCCTAGGATGAATTTCTGAATTTTGATCGATTTCAGTCTCATTCCGGAAGTATTGCTCTGAGGATCTTTGTTGCTAGAGTCTAGTGAATCGGTCTCGCCCATTCTATCGCGTAGGGTACTTTGTCCAGCATCGCTGACGGTGAACTTTGCTGTCGACTGAAGCGGGTCCTAGGTGGGACTTCCAACGATCGTTGGCCCACTTCCACCTTTCTGTAGGTCTCGGCTGAGTTGAAAGAGACTCTGTCTTCCCCGACTCAGACGGCGGAGTAGACTTGGCTGTTGGTGTAAATACTGCCTTGGGAAGCAGGCTGAAAGAGCTCGGAACTCATAACTTCCTGAGAAAGTGACCACAGATGCGGTCTCAGGGAGCGCATCTTGCAATCCAAAGCTCAGAAAAAAACGAGCAGGAACCTGGAATGTTTTTTGCTAGAATAGACGACGTCTCGCGACACATTCACAAGGACGACCACGGCTGGGAGAGCGCGACAGAGCGAGGCCCCTCCGGTCTGTCTCGAGAGCCGGAACAGCGCGTCGTTCCTGAACTTCTCAGGATTTTTCCGGGCAGAAGGAGGGGGGGGGGGGTGGCGGGCCGCTCATGCATGGAGGGGGTACGGATGCCGGAGCGCTCCTTTAACATGCGAACCCGAGTATCCGGAATTAGAGGGCGATCGAGCTAGAAGCGACCGATTATGGTCTCCCGCTCGAGGACTGATGAAGCTCATCGACGCTCCGAGAATCAATAGTCCAGAATTACGCTTCAACAATTTTCATTTTATAAACAAGAGAACTTTCCAGTTCTCGAAACAATTTCAATGATTGCTCTCTGCGACTGAGCTGTGAATATTCAAAAACACTGTAGGATGATTTAAAGACATTTCGGAGCGACCCGCAGGCCTCGCTCCACTAATAATAAATCCATCACAAGTCGAGTCAAGGCAGTTAAGGATGGAACAGCGTCAGAGGGCATCCGCCGAGACCCTCAGCTGTGCGGGATATAACACTCATGCGGTAGGACGCCGCGTCGAGGGTAGAATGTGTGGCTGAGGGAATAGTTCATGAGGTTTGTCACGTGACTCATGTAGATGTCAGAGTATCTGGAAGCAGACAGGAAGCAGAATGAGTCGATACCCGCCAGTCGGGATGAGTTTCTCGTTGTCCCTTCCGAGTGTTCCCTGACGTCAGCTATACAACAAGGTTTACCTGAAGAGACGTCTTGAAAAATAGGTCGGATTGTGGTGTGTTCGGAAAACGGAACCGAAGTTTGGATTGAAGAGACTCTTCGTCGTCTTGCGGAGCATATCCCTCTCTTCAAGGAGAGTATCGAGGAAGTCCTGAGGGGGGAACGAAGCTATACTCAGCAGAACAACGACCACGGTAGTCTGACCCGGCGGGGTTCTTCGCGACTGGACCGAGGGGCAACCCTGGATTGACGCTCAGGGAGGATGCATAATCTCGAGCGAATTCTCGGCACGGAGACGCAGGAGATTAGCGCCCCCCGGATAGATTCCTCTTGATTTCAATTCACAAACCTGAATGTCAGGGGAGTCTTGCATGTCAGCTATGAGATGCTGGAGCGTCTGCAGCCAACTTGCGGTGTGACGAAACTCTTCCGAGTTCGAGATCTTGATTTCGTGCTGGAAGTTTCGATTGAGTGAGACCTCGCTACGAGGCGCTACCTACATCATCAACGAAAAAGATCTCTTCGAGGTTTGAGCTTTACAGCAAGTTCGTAGAGTATGGCGCCTGTCCTCCAGCCGTAATTCAGGGTGAGATCGGCCAGATCGTTGTATATTTGATCTCCGAAGTACAGAACAGAGTGACCAAGCCAGCCGGTCATATGTTGCAGTTGATTCACTGTACCCTCGACGTAAACTTTCCCTGAAAAGAGTGTATCGAGAATCGAATTCGCGCTCGAGAACTCTTTCCTCCAGGTCCAAGACTGACTAAGCAGAAGGGACAAGTCGACTGTGCCCCAGAAAGAGAGGGATCGAACCTTGTTCCAAACTCGTGACGCGCTCCCATAGCTGAGACTTCGTGGCCTTATCGTACATTCGGAACGGCCGCAACTGCTCGGTGAAGAACTTCGGCTTCCTCGCCTGGACTATGACGACATCGAAGAAATCTTGCCATTCCTCGCCTAACATATATTGCATCCCCACATCCCTGAAACAAGGATCAAGCTGACCGGTTAGTCCGACCAATTTGCGACCTCGCTTTGCGACCGGTCCGCTGCGGTGGGATTCCTGGATACGCTCCATATATCAACTCACAGGAATTTGAAGGGGCTGTTCGTGACTATGAACATCTTTTTGTCGTTTTCCTTGAGTCTCTGTAGGAAGGTCTTCAACTCAGGGTACTTCTCGAGATAAGTGCCTGCAGAAGAGAGTAAAGAGTCGTGTCGAGCATGAGTCATTCCGTCCAACGAGGGAGACGTCAAATTACGGCAGCTGATTATTGTTATTATTTGTAGCCACGAACCGATGTTCGTCTCGTTGAACATGTTGTGTATGACGGGGTGGATAGAACCGACAGCGTTTTGGACATCATAGAACAGAATTTCAGGGTTAAAGGCGATGTTGTTCTTGATGAAGTATTCCGTCACGTTCGATATCAAGCAGATCTCCGGGACTGAGAACAAATCATTTAGCTGCTTGGTGCGGTTTTTCTGAAATTCCCCAAACATCTCGTGAGCTCCCTCTCACCCGGATAGATTTGCGTACGTTCGTAGGAATACGCCTCTTTATCGGGGGTACGATTGAGAACAAACCTCGTTGCCAGCTCTTATCATGTACTGAGGAATATAGCTTCCACCGTAGATATTCTCCACCTCGTCGCGCGCCAGTGGAGTGAGTCCACGGTACACCGATTCGAATTGAATCTGATGGAATAGGTCTATTTTCATCAGAATCCCCTCTTTGATATCGTAATGGAGACCACGGATAGCGAAGCCAGGTTTGTACTCGAGCTCCCCGATGCCCTTGGGGTACTATGGAGTAAGAGTTTAATTTAGAAATACATGAATTACGCTCCGAGAGGCTCTGATTGGATTCGATGAGATTGAGAGTGGATATCTGACCTTGAATTTGTTGATGAGCCAGTCTCGACCAAGATCGTAGATGAGATAATGCAGCTGGCCCGTGTATACAGCTAAGGTGTAGTCGTAATCGAAGCCGTAAACCTCGACCCCGCCCATATTTAATTCATTGTTGGCGAAGACTCCGTATGGGTTGAGCTCAGGCGTAGGCATTGCTGGAGACCGGTATGATAATAAATTAATTCACGTCAGTGATATAACTTGTGGAGCTCAGCCAATCCCTACTCCCACACATGCATCCCCGATCGCCCAGTTCTCGGCGGCCCAGTTTACCTTTCGCTGCATTGTGAGCAAGCAGGCAAAGTAAAGGCTTGTTAGCTCGGGAAGGCTTCAACGAGAAAATTATAAGGACGGGTGCTTGTTTCGTGAGCGCAGAACTCACAATCAGTCAGTTCAACTCGAGCACGCATCGCGTCCGAAACAAGCGCAGCGCTGAACGGTGTTCGGACTCGATAAGAAAAGAGCCTTTCTGGCTTTTCGATCGCTCCTTGAGACGTCCCTCGGGAGACTGATCGATCGATTGATCGAGATTGTCGATCAGCTGTTTCTGAACAGTCACAATGACATACCTTCACAGGCTTGCTTTGCACTCATGTATTTCTCCAAAACACTGAGTTGGTCGTGGCCTTGTTGCATCAGACGCTCATCGGGGTCCCGCGGGATCCGACTCACGCATCGAGCCCCCTGGGGGGCTCTGAGTGCTATGCGGACGATTCGGCGCAGCATTGGAGAGCCTTCGCGTGTCGGTTGTCCCTCCTCGGTGGAGCCCCGCAGAAGACATGCGGCAAAAAGTAAATATAAACATGCGGACTTCTCTTTCCCCCCTTGTCACGTACGCGCTCATGAGTTTTCATCGATTATTATACGATGAACCTGGATCCCATGGCAGGCTGGCTTATTGTAGTGAGAGCTCTCTCATCGAGACATGCCCGGGGAGACCTAGCTCCCGTTATTGGAGTCGAGTCCCAGTTTCCCGATTTCCCGCGGTCTCCGTCTCTCTCCTCCCAATCTCACATCGCTGTCTGCTAGGACATCTCAACAAGGATAAGTCCGCGCGGTACGGAGATGGAAAAAAATATGCCGCCCGTCACTCAAATCCGTTCTCGAAGGTGCGGAGCGACGGGGTTGCTTGAGAGGCTCGGGGTTCTCGAGGCATAAAGGGGTGTGGGAAAATGGTGAGGGAATGCGACCCCAGGTTGGCCTTGACTGAGTTCTTTGGCCTCAATAGGCTGGTACTATCAGGGAATCTGTCTGAAGAAATATCGTGAAAAGAAGCATAGAAAATCCTCCATCCACCGAGAGTTTAGTCAACATCTGCAATATCTTCTCAGCAGGAGCAACCGAAGGGGACCGCTGTCACGAAGAACAACAGCGGGCGCGTCTCTCCCATGCTCCTCAAATCCGGGATCGAAGCCCTTCGCACGTCCGAGCTGGGGTTCCCGATCGAAGGCTCTGATTTTTCCAGAGGCTTTTCGATAATCCGATCCTAGATCCCCATAAAAATATATATTCATCCCGCGCGACAGAATCTGATGTACAATAGGTCATGTCATGAGCGGATGCTCGACACAGAGAAAACTTCCTTGCCGATGTTTCCGTTGGATTCGGAGCTATGTTTATTATCACAAACAGCCTTCTTGGAAATGCGCTGGCACAAGGAATGGAGGCCTGCGAAATATAATTTCCTCGAGCTCCAGATAAAACACTATATCGAAGTCTCCCTAATTGGACAGACGTCTTCTCGGAATTCCCATAGATAACAGAGAAACACTGCGCAAATCTCCGTAGAACGTCGGAGTCTATCAGAGACAGATCAGAGCTGCCGAGGCGGGAACACATAACAAATCATTTCGACGTCGGCGACAACTAGGTCGCGATTCGGAAGAAGCGATTGCATAGTCTAAGACGGCATCACTATTTGGCAGGATTCTGATGTCGGGGCCGAAATTCAAGGATTCCACGAAGCCTCCGATGCTCGATGGCCTCACAGCCACTCCCCGAATGTTCCTCTTCCGAAAATCGGGGTCGGTCGGAGCTCCCAGCCGCCGACATTCACCCAACAGGCGTTCCGAGGTCTCGAGACCTGAATTTTCCCCCGTACGGCTCAGTTCGCTCCCCCCCCCCCCAAGGCTTCTAGCTCTCAATGGGGAATCCACAAGATTCTTTACAAGCCCCCAGAAGATCTTTCTACGCTGAAAATATTTGCGGAATCGAGTGGTCACGAATCCTCCATTCCGAGAAGTTTTCTCGCAACAAGAGGTCCTAGCATATTCAAGGAACTTCGAACCAGAGCGCTTCATACGCAGCCGTACTCGTACCACACGTCTTGCTTTGTCGGTGTGTTGGTGCCTCCGGTCGCCGACGGACTCGCCACAGCTGAAGATGCGAGACTCCTCCGGGAAGGCGTATCGGCATCCGACAGCGTTCCCGAACCGAGAGCTGCGGCCGCCTCCTTCTTCAAGGTTGTTCTGAACAAATGTTGTCCCACGGCAGGACTATTCGAACGATGAGATTCGTGATGGTGTCCTTCAAATGATTGATGAGCACTTCTTCGAGCATACATGGAGTGCCTAGTAGACGGGGACCGACTCAAGCCTCCGAACGAATTCGCGTAAGGGGTCGAAGTCGCGGGTTGGGGAGGGTAATGATGCACCTGGAGAGTGAGAGTTCGTTTTAATGACAGACTGACTGAGATGCGACGAAGCTGGAGTAGATCCTGGGAAATATCAGTCGAGAGCTACACAAGCCACAAACCTGATTCACGACGTTGACCGTGGTATGGTTTTCAACAGTTCGATTAACACGCATGGGCTGTGAGGGGATCGGCGAGGGCGTCGCAAGGCTACGACTGACATCACCCGAGGGAAGAGGCGTCGAGCTGCGTGACGAAATCGCTTTACTGACGAACATGCTGTTGTCAAGCTTCGATGTGTATTCGTTGAGCTTCTCTTCGAGCAGCCGCCGCTCTTCTTCCATTCTGAGTCGCTCTTGCTCGTAACTGGAACGATCAAAGGTCGTGAGGCACTTCTCTCCGGGAGAAACGAAGACAGACAACTGCTTGAATAGGCCAGAGAATGAAGATCATGGTGGTCGAGATAACGAATCCTACGGCTTACCCCGCCACCCCTTGTCCCTGGCTAGAGGCTTGGTTGTTGTCGCATGTTGAAATAACGTCAAGCAATCGTCCGAAATGTTGATCGTAAGAAGTCATCAGGGACGTCACCTTGAACAGGAGCGACTTGCGCTCCTCCTCGAGAACCTGGTTGATGTGTTGGAGCATCTGATACGAGGTCGTCAGTCTAGAAATCTCCACCTCGTGAGAGCTCCTTTCATCCTGTGAATCTCTCAGTTGGCCTTGCAGCTGTGTGATCTTCAATGACTGTTGGTTGCACACGTCCTGATTTCGGAGAAGAGGGATCAAACAAAAATTGAAACTGGCTTCTTTTCTCTCCTAGGTGCTTGTGAATATTCTCGGAGTTCAAGCTCCGGCTGGAAAAACAGCAGGGATCCACCCGCGGGATTCCGTCCTCGTACCTTGAGCTGCCGATAAGTGTTGTGGAGAGTTTCCATTTCATCCCGGAGCTTGGCGTTGTCTGCAAAGTCCGTTGAACCTCCGGGAATCGAGCGAAGAAGCTCTACACTGGATGCGAGTTCAGATTTTTCTCGTAACTCCTCTCGAGTCATTTCCAGTTGATCTGAAATTCATCACACGTCATTATTTTGGAACGATCCTAGTCGCCCCAGTCTGAGATGATGGATCGAGAGAGAAAGGCTCCGTGACAACGTGGATTCAGCCTCGGTCAGACCATCGAACCAGAGGATCGCTTACCCTCGAGCTGCTTGACCAGGCGCTGCAGCTCAGAGATTTTGGCCTTCTGCGTTTTCTGAACATTCTTGGATTCGGTGAGTGTATCCTTGGTCTGCTCGAACTCGTTGCCCAATTGTTTGTGTAGTTTATCGAGCACTTGGTAGTCTTCATTGATTTTATCCCGGTTCTCGATGGCGCGGATGACTTCTACTTCTTTCTCTCGGAGTCTCGTCTTGACCTGTCCCAGTTCCTGCTTAAGCACTTCTGTTTGCTCCTGAAGTTGCTGCTTGGCCGAGATGGCTACGCTTTGGTCGACCTGGAATTCGGAAAATCAGCGATTCACACGAAGTCGATGACAGACCGTTGCTGCATGGAATGCGAATCGTCGGCGTCCCAATTTTCCGCGCTCAAAGACCACTTGCCTCAAGCCTCGCGAAATGCGACTGGAGGGCCGCATTCTGCTTGGCCAACGCCTCCCGCTTGGCCACTTCCTGTGCGATTCCGTACTCCGCATTCAATAGCTGTTGTTTCACGACAGAGAGCTCTTTCTTGGCAGCGGAACACTCGTTCTCGCTTTGGATCTTCTTCTGCTCCAAGTGGACGATTTTGTCCTTGAGATCAGCGATTCGTGAGCTTACGACCCCGCTGGCCAGAGATTCTCTCTGCGGTTCCATCGCTGACGTGGTGTCGGCGGGCAAGGAGAAGGGCCCTGCCGATTCCCTGATCTTGCTCCTGTCGTCTGAGAGTTGAGAAGCTCGATCTCCATCCCCATTCATGATCAGCGGGTCAACGTTTTCCATCAGAATCTGCAAGCGACGCTGGTTATCCAGCGCAGCCATCGTTTCAATCTTTGAGTCAGCAGGAGTTTCCTATTTATGCCGGGGATGCTCCCACAGGAACGATGCATCTAGTTTCTCGGAGGCATTCCATGGATCGCTCCCATCCATCGGGAATCCGCCTACTCACCTCATTGTCGATCCTGTCGTCATCGAGTTCCAGAGCAACACTCGGAGAACTCATGGTTGTGGAGCCCTCGTGGACTTCGATAGTACCACTGGTGAGAGACGACGCCGTAGAGAGAAACTCTTCCGTTGAGGAACCTGTCCGAATACATTGGCATTAGATTTCGGCCGTACACGACACGCAGCACCGGGGAAAAATGTGGGACCAGAGCGGGCGGAGAGTCGCGAATTCGTGCACCAACCGTGTTGCCGCAGTTGCTGTTGCTCCTTGTGCTGCTTCTCCATGTTATCGAGTTGAATGTGGATTTGTTCTAATTCGTTTTCCAGGAGACCGTTCTTGACCTTTTCCTGAATCATCTCCTGTCGCAGATCGACTAGAGCGGCTTTCTCGATCGAGAGTTGCTCTTCGAGGACATGGACTTGTTTGTCACTCGTTGCTAATTGCTTCTTGAGCGTCTCGTGGGAATCGAGAAGCTTCTTCAGCTCACCGAGCTCCTTCTCGGTCACCGTGAGTTTTTCTGAAATCGAATCGACTTCGCGCTCCCTCTCTTCGACGCTCTGCCGCGCTCTCTGGAGCTCCCGTTCCGAGGCTTTCCGATCGTTTTCGAGTTGTTTGATGCGGCTTTCCAGTTCAGTTTTCTCTTTTTCCAACTGATTCACCCTTTGCATCGTGCCTCTCATGGTCGCCAGAGAGGTCGTGAGCCGAGAGTTTTCGCTCCGAAGGGCGGTCATCTCCAGAAGGTTTTCCTCCAAGCGTTTTTCGGTCGACTCAGCCTCCCGTTGCGCTCGCTGTTTCTCCAGACTCACCACACTGAGTTGCTGTTCCACCGAGTGCAGCTTAATGCAGTCAGACTGGGCCAGCTCGAGCTTTTTCTGAAGTTGTTTTACATCGAGGCTCAATGTCAAAATGTCTCCTTGCAGTTTGTCGTTTTCGCGCTCCTTCTCCTGAAGCGAACAGGACAGCCTCTCCCTTTCAAGTTCCAGCTGGTTACATCTGCTCATGGTGTCGTTGTGCATCTGCTCGAGCAGCGACGGGCCCTCGAATGCTAAATTGCTGTCTTGCTCTTCATCCTCTCGGTGCGTGCTTTCCAACTGCAAGCGAGATATCTCCTCGACGAGATTCTTCTTGTCGACGTGAAGCTGAGAGTTTTCCTCGGCGAGCCGATTCAGTCGTTCTCCGGCCAGATCTCGTTCCAGATGTGCTTCGCTCAACTCCACCTTGAGGGAAATCAGTTCCGACTCCAGACTGACCAAAGTGTCCAGCTTCTTCCTCGACGCTTCCAATTGTTCCTCAATCATGAACTTGGTCTCGTTCGTCACCCTTAAGTCTTCCTTGAGTTCTTCGCATCGGCTCCGCATGAATTCCAAGTCGCTGATTTTCTCCTTGTACTTCTGCATCGTCGATTCCATGGTTTCGTAGCGTAAGCACCGCTCTTTCAGGATATCGATCTCGTCGCGTAACGCTTTAGCGCAACGAGAGTCCTGGACCAGTTGTAGATTGTCCTGCGGAGCGAGACGTCGATAAGGGAGAGCCGAATATTCCAAAAGCGGAGACGGAGGGGAGATTGCGTTTCCACCCAGTGTTGGACCCAGTGCGCGAGTGGAACTCACCTGTCTCAACCTCTGTAGGTTCTCTTTCAGCTGATCACATTCTTCCTTGGCCTCGGACAGTATTTCGATCTTCTCTTCGTAGTCGTGCTGAAGTCGCCGCAAACGGCTCTTGGTATCTGCGAGCTCCAGTGTGAGACCTGAGTTCTCTTTGACGACAGGACTCTGAGGCGGCTGGATCTCTTTGTCTTTCAACGTCATCTTGTCGAGTGTGAGCTGAATGCACAGAGCCGACAAACTGTCGCGTTCGTCTGTGAGCCTGGGAAGAAATAGAAATTGCTCATGCTTCTGACATGGAGGCCGAACAGGTTTTCTCTGTCTCATTCAATTGGGAGTTGAATGTCATCAAAGATGCATACTGACCTCCTAACGTTATCTACTAAAGCAATGTACATAGCATTGTCATCAACAGCGCCACCCTCTCTTGGCCAAACTGCCCCTGGGTTGTCAGCGATTTGTTGGATGGACTCCATCAAAGAGTGTTGAGCGGCCACATCGAGGGTTTTGATCAACGTGATAAAATCCTCCTTACGCTCGCATTGGACCGCGCATCCCAGAAGCAGTAACATGAGCGAAGTGAGCTCTGAGATGACCTGAAAACATTCTTCTTTGAATTTCCGAGGATCGATATGAGGGATATAATCGAACAGTTGTTGGAAGAATTTCCAAGGTCTCCATCGTCGACGGAACGGTACTCACCTGGCGGACAGTATCCGCTTTCGGCTTCGAATAATCAGCATATTGAGCCAACAACAAAATATCCGGGAGTTTCAGTACGAGAACCTGCGGTGACTCCTGGTTAGTGATGCCACTCGAGATAGAATAGGAAACGCTCTCGGAGGTCAGATAAAACAATCAGCTCTGCGAGTGTACGGTGAAAAAGTGGATTCCCGCCCTGCAAGTCTACCAGCACGGGCTCAGACGGGGAATACAGCGAATAGCGGAAAGATTTCCCTGACGCACCTGTCCTAAATGATTCTTGTAAAAATTCAGCATCGCTTCCAGCAATCGTTGAAGGGTTTTCGTTCTGGTGGGAACATCGTCCGAGCCTGCAACATTCGTCGATTCCCTCATGATTGGTCCTGAAGGTATGCGAGAGAGGATTTTCCCGATGCCTCTGAAGTGAAAGGCCCGGAGCCTCCGCAGACTCGCTATACTCACCCGCACGGAGCGCGCTCGCCTGGGAGTCGATCTGACGCCAGACATCGTTGTAGAGAGAATGTCCATTGCAGAATTCCGCGAAGGTGAGATCTAGTTTGCCGGAAACCGCGACCGCCCACAAAGCGATCGGTGATTTGAGGAAGGCGTCTTCCAGCTCGGAAGCCATCGTACGGCCGCTCCGTCCAAGGAAATTTCAGTTCCACGTGCTCGGCATGATCATGCCAACTCCTGCCGGGTCAGAGGCGACAACATTATTAGGCCACTGGTCTCGTCAAAATCGAACACCCGGATCGTTGACTTCAGGTACTTCGGATTGTTCCCCATGATGATCCGACGTGTTTATCTTTTCAGCTGACTTCACATCGGAATGGACCCTTGTCCCTACGGGAGCTCTGAATAAAGAGCCGGAGAAGAGAAATAAGTTCAACGCGGCGTTATGGTGACTCATAGTTTCCCCATCAGTTCCTTCGAGCAACAGCATCTTCCGTGTCTTTCGGTCAGCTCGGCTGTCCGCCGCTGTTCGTCCGCCATACAATCACCCAAGGAACGTCGTCGGGTCACCACCGCCGGGCAGCGGCGGGCCGCGCCGCGAGCGACACAAACAACGGAAAAGAGGGAAACTATGTCGAAGTTTGCTGTTTAAACGATGACGAGAGTAGGCCCACCCCAGAAGACAAAGACCGTCCAGACGGACCGACCAACCGGCCGGCGGTCGAGCAACGAAATTCGCGAAAACGTTGGGTGCCCCAACCAGCCGCTCTTTTCCCACAGGCTAGACATCATGGGGATTGATCCTGAATTTGGTGACCTCGGCGAGTAGCATGCGTAGCACCGATCGAATACGTCAAATCGGACGATACGATTCTCTTCGCCAAGGACTCGCCGATCTCTAGAACGTTACGCTCGTCCGGATCCAAAGCCGGTCAGACGTTTCTCAATGCGCTGAGGGTCGCGAGCCCTGTCACGCTCAAGGAAGCTCTCATCGTCTGCGGGCTCGAGTCACAAATTGAATTACTCCTCCAAACGCAGTCGATGATCTCACGATTAGTGTGCACGGTCCCGCAGTCCAATCCCAGCTCAGAGTAAGCGCTGCTCCGAGCCAGAGTCCTGAGTGGACGGAATCGGGTTATGCAAAGATCAGCGAGAGGTTCCATAGACACAGTAGGAAGCTGGAGTCTTCTGACGAGATGAAAGACACTGATCGGGGCCCTGCATTTCCCATGGCAGGCAGAGCTGCTTGCCTACTTCGGTCTCTCGGCCTTCTAAATCCATGCGTTCCCAGAGAAAAGGGATGAGACGTTTCCAGCGGAGTCCTCCGAGTCGATCATAAATTCAGTCTCATGGATGCCGACGCTTCCGTCAGTGGAGTTCCGATTGAACTTCTGGTTTCTGGGTTTCTATGCGGACAATCTCACCAAATATCCGCCTGCTTGTCGTTTGCGGCAGCCACTCAACGAGTTCGAGCTTGAGCCCGTTCGCCGATGGCTCTTCAACTCGTTCCGAACCTTCGATGGGTCTCTCGAATCTCTCCAGACACCGTTCACCACTCACCATGTATCACCCGGTCGTCTCCGGGTTTGGTGCTCCGCTAGGATGAGACGAGTCGATTTTCAGAACCCGTCCTCGCTAACGGTGACAATGAGTGACCTGGCACGGAAACGGTCAATCGAGAGAACGCACTGGAACAGAAAAACGTCGGGGCTCTATGGGGTCATAAACGGCTGCCAGTGTGATCCACTTCGAAAACAGTAGCACTTCTTCTCTCAGCCGTTTGATCGAACGTAAACAACGGAGCACCAGACGACGCGTTCGGAGGAGGGAACATCGGCGAGCGCTTGAACGAGCGGGAATGCCCGAACAGAGCGCCCGAACCCCTCACGAGAAGGAGCCATCCTGGGAGTTTCCCGGCTCTTACGTAAGCCCTCGGCCTCTGTCTCACTCCGTCCTTATCCCTTACTTCGATCCTCAACATGCCACGACTTGTTCGGATTCGAAAAATTCGGAAAGTGCTGCGGGCGATTTCTGAGTAGTATCCTAGGAAATCGAGGATCCGATCGAATCGATGTGATAGATCGGAAATCTCGGTGTGCTTCGCCCCTCTTATCCGATGTACCAAGGAATGGACTTGAGGTGCCACGAAGTCCCAGAAAGTATAGAGTGCTTATAAGTCTCTCGTACCCGTGATGATGTATGTCTACGTCGATCATGCCGCTATCTTAGGGTGGTGCCAAACCTAGTTTTTTACTTTTTCTCGAAGACGGTTGGGTTTAGAGCAGAAAGTGTTGTGGCTTACCCCACGGGTTTTCGATTCTACATCCGAAAATGACGTTCCCTCGCTCCCGGAAGCTCTGGTTTCTGAGATACGGTATCGAGTTTCCTCATTCTCAATGGGAGCCCGTGCCGGAAACACCTCAAACCGATAGATCTCGTCGTTCTGAACAAAAAAGGTCACGGAGTATTCTCCTCTGAAACCAATAGTTTCGAGATATCGGCAGAAAAAGTTATAAACCATAGGAATCAATGGATCATTGGATTTTAGAGAAAATCGACTTCGCTGTCTCGGATTTCATTCGTCTCCGAGCCCCTTTCATTGAATCGGACGCTCCCCTCGAGCCCGCTGTCCTAGTAAGGAGTTTGACCGGCTGTGGTGGTCGCCGAAGGTACGTGTTTCCTTTTATTCGAGGAGGCGCAGACGTCGCGTTCTTCCCGAAGTCCTGAGCAGTAACCCCGGAACTCGTTTGCTTTTTACCTACTCGGAAACCGAGGGCGGCCTCCTCGATATTGAAGGAGGCCTCTGACGAAGTCGACCCCCGCGATAATTTCGAATACACTTCACACACTTCTTGACCCTTTGATATTCGAGTCGAGGCGATCGCGGAGATCCCGCTTCAAACCCGCGATTGTCCATACACACAGATCACCCCCCCGGACACAGCATGTCTCGGAGATTAACATCGGATTTCGCTGAATAAACTCAACAGTGCTTCTCTCGTTTTGCCCCGATCCGGGTTAGAATTGCGCCGAGGTTGAAACGGCTCCTCCGGCAAAATGATCGAAATACTGCTCTGCTTGAAAATACCAATCTTCTGTATTTATTATTGCGTATACTCTGTATCAGACGAATATACAAACATGTACGACACTGTTTCATACCTATTCCAGCTTCTTTACCATGATTAACATCGTGCGGAATAAAGATTCCTATGAATGATAATTTATCTGTGTCTATCTATGGATTCTCATTTGTTTCGATTGCCCTGTTAAACAGGCTACTGGATTGTCGAATGTTTACTTCGAGGAAAGCGCCGACTCGCTCTTCGGTGAGAGTTGTGGTAGGTCGCAATCTCGAAGTCGAGAGGAGGTCGGGATCGCGAATTCCCTTGCCCACTTTTCCGGACGCACTTTGAAGAGGTCGCTTGCGCTCGATTCGGGTGACGAGTCACCAGATCGAAGATATCGTGGCGCTTAATTCACGAGTTTCCCATCGTGAAGTCGCATATATGTAGAACAGGGATGATCGAACGAACAAAAATTAGAACTATTTTTCATCAAGTCAATGAGGACCGTCTCAGAAACCAGTGCCCAACATCCCTTTAGCATTCCTATTGATGTGCTCGAGACTCGTTGAATAAGCAGCTCTGTCCTCGGCCGTCAAAGAGAAGGTCTCGAAGTCGATAACATCCGCAAATTTGGCCATGACAAACATCGTCACCACTCCTGTCACGATGCCGAGGTTTTGTAAAAGCAGGGTTCTCACTTGAGGCAAGAACCCGCAGACTTTCTCGAGACTCTCGTTGATTTCGCCCATCTTGAATCAATTAAAAAATTTGTTGAGCGATTAGCGTCGGTTGAGTTCTAGAAGGGACATGATGCTCATGCCGCTGTATTCGATATCTGCATCATGAATTCATACACCTTGCGAGTACTTACCATCCCGACCAAGGAAATGTAGAGGAACATCCCGGCGGCGAACGCGAAAACAGCCGGAGCACCCTGAGTCAGGTCACCGACGAGGATGCCGACAGCCAAACCGAGGAAACAGGTCAGTGCAGACAGGAAATTGTACAAAACAGCTTGTCTCGCAGACATTCCCGCACCGAGGAGCACAGCGAAATCTCCTACAATTATACCGAATCCGAGAATTCAGAATTCAGGATTCAATCGAGCATGCAAATATATACTTCGATTCCGAGGGTAATCAAGCTGGACACCTGGAAGAAGGAAGACTCACCAAGTTCATGCGGGAATTCTTCACAAATTACAGCGACTGAGATCGAGATCCCGCCTAAAATCGAAGTATTGAAGGCTGCTCCGAGAGAAAGGCCGTCGATGAAGTTGTGCATCCCATCGCCGAATATAATCAGCCACGCCACAGAAGCAATGGAGCCATCTAGAGCGAGCGAATCAAAGCTATCGCTCCGAAGAAGAGAGAAGCTGATTTCCGCCGAATATCTATAGAGGAGAACTCAAGCAAAGAAAACTGGATGGAAATACCTTTCGACACTCCATGTGGATGACCATGATTACCGTCAACGAGTTGGCCTGCTTCCTCGGTGATTGGATTAAGATTAATCTTCTTCTTTTCCTCTTTCTTCAGACTGCCTATCAACTTCATGATGCGTTCGGAAATGTAGAAAAAATAGATACCGCCGAACACTACCAGCGATTTCCATAGGTATCCGTCTTGTTGCGTTAAGTCGAAAGCCTGCGAGAGAAGAATTCCGGTTTCGAATACAAGAGTCTCTCACGTAATGGGGAATAATTTCCCCGCGGGACGCGGATCGAGCGCTCAGAAGCACAGCTCGCCGCCGGAATGGAGGATACGAGCATAAACGTTTTTCTCGTTCGAGTTCCGCCGCTCACTTGGGGAATAAGATGAAATATGGCACTTCCACATAGCGACCCTACAGCGAGACCCTGGAATATATTCATCATCGCGTGGAATAGTTGGCGCGTTAACAAAGGAACGATCGCGAGACCAGTCAGGGAACATGCTGAGATGATTGTGACGGATATTATGCCATACAGCCAAACTGCAATCGGAGTTGCATATTAGGAATGCTCGAAGCCCTCGAATCGGATCCCAACGAGCTCCATCCGAATTCTAGGTATGGGAGAATCCCACCTTGGAAGGGTTCGGGCTTCGTTTTGGCTGCAGCAGGCAGAGAGGCTGTCGATGATGACAGCAATGACTGGTGTAGGGAATTATTGAAAGACTCGCACGAATGAGATTGGAGGAGCAGAATGGGGCAAAGCTCACGGAATATCACTTCGAGGGGCTCTTTCCTAGAAGGCCTCCGTATAGCAGAAACCAATTCGCGCGGCGAGAGACACTGTAAAACGAAATGGTATTAAATATGGAGAATTGCGGATTTTCAATAGGTTCGGGGACACGACGCACAGTGGTCCCGGGGTGGAAAAAAATTATAGCTTCCATATGGGTGGATGGAATTTGATAACCGTATTTATTCTAATAGAATGGCATGCTCCAATAGAACGGCACCCGTATGAGATTTCGGAAAATAGAGCGGCATGCTCCAATAGGACGGCATGCTCTCATGGAACGGCAGGGGGAACTTGAGGGGAGGTGGTATAAATTGTTGGATTCCGTGAATATATCAAGGGTATACAAAACGATTCATCGTAAGTGAAGGCAGAGATCGTTTGACTACTCATTTTTGGAAAAAACGCGGATAGGCTTCATCAGCTCTAATAGGGACCGCCCATCCGGTAGGGGATCGAAAAATAGAGCGGCATGCTCCAATAGACCGGCGCCTGATGAGGGGATCGAAAAACAGAACGGCATGCCTCTCTATTAGAATAAATACGGTATCTCCATTGGATACGCTTTCTCGAGAGATTCCAACTCTCCCGGCTGCGCCGTTCATCTTTTTTCACGGGATTTTTTTTGCAACAGCTTGCAACTTCGCTACATGATCTTTTCCGGAATTATCAGACTCCGCACGGAAAGAAAATGAAAGTTTCAGCTGATCCGAGCTGCTTTCTTGTTTTTGTGAGACGATTAGGCGTGAAAATCACCAGAAAAATTAATCTCCAATCGCCACAAAACCGGGGAAGCAGTTTGAAGCGTTCGAAACTTTCATTTTCTCCTCGTCTGGAGTCTCACAGTTCAAGGGAAGGCTATCTAGCACTTGAAAAATTGAAAATCCCTCAAATCCCGATGGGACTTCAAGATGGGGTCGATCGTGGAATCAGAGAGAGGAAAAAACATTGGAAAAATATGAACGGCGCAGCCGAGAGAGCCGAAAAGACTGCGTACCCGATAGAGACCAACCACGCCATCAAATTTCATGGAATTCCGTCGAGCCGTTTGGATTTTATTCCTTATTCGTATTTGTATACACATTATTTGCATGTTTTGGGACCACGGTGCGATGGAGCCCCTCCAGACCGTCGTTTCCGACCCGAATCAACCTCATCGAGAGTTCGAGCTTTACTTTCTGAGCTTCACATCCTCGATCTACCTAGGCGGCTCGGGAGACCCCGAAGTTCCCGGCATCGATGAAGAATAAGTAAGACTTCACCGCTCATCTTGCGGATCATGCGGCGGATCGGTCGACGGTCGGAAGGGCATCATCTGTCCCCGCTCTCGATCCACATCAGCGGCTGATGATTACTATTCAAGGCTGATGTGGAAGGAGCGACAATCTATCCATTCTTGGTGGATGGGTAGCGGCAATTCCTCAAGAGAGCAATTCTGAGTAGGCTTTGCAGGAAACCACGGTTGTCGACTGCGGTTATTCGCTGTCCCCCATAGAGTCCAATGTTAAAGAAAAACCGCAATTGCGGCTATTAAGCGCGGTCGCAAAGCCTAATTCTGGGACCCTCCCGCACCGGACTCGCTCCGTAAAGATCGCATCACTCTAATGAAACATACCTCTCCTCCTTCAGAACACATTTTGCTAAACCTCTGATCTGGTATGCAGTTGACGTCACGACTATCATAACTTCCAGGATTAACTTTCTTCTGGACTGTGAGATCGAGAAGATTCTGAAGATCGAAAGTTGAGTTTCCGGTGACCGAGAAAGCCGGATGAAAGCGACGGATGACTTCGCGGATCGTCGCTGGGCTCAATTCTAGAAGGAGCAAAAGAAGAATATCTCAGAACGTGATTAGGCTACCGGAATCGGTAGTGTTTTCGAAAATAAGTTTCTGTTGTTAGGGGACTCCGTATTCTTTGAGACCTGGATTAATCACGGATTAAGGATGGGACACGAGCAGGCTCAGAACGACTCGGAGCAGGATCCCCAGGAAATGATCTACGTCGTGATTCCCGCGCCGCGAAATGAGCGCGATCTCGCGGGTGACGGATTGAGCGGGCACCCGAAATCTCTGGGCGACGATCTCACGATCTGCATGGGTCGACAGCGCGGCGATCCCGCATCCTACAAATGGCCACATATGGGCCGAGAGGGGAAACGAAGTTCCCTGAAGGTTCCCTCCACATACTTAGGTTTGCCATGTTCTCCTTCGGAAGCTTTCTCGAATCTTCGCAGAAATTAGATCATTTGACGCTCGGCCTAACTCGGGATACGGATTCCTAAGCACGAAGAACGCGAATGGGACAGGCGGCTCGGGATGTTTCGCTTCTCCCTCCGTGACTCGCGCACTTCAAGGGCGAATTCTGGCTCCGCTTATCTATTCAAAAAATACGCTGGCGCCGCGGTGTTAATCTAGCTCCCCGAATATCGAACACGTACGCAAGAAGAGCCCCTTCAGCACAAAATGACGTTTACGGAGCGTCATCTTGGAGCGACGGTAGTTGTTCGCTCGTATCTCCCCGTCTGCAAGTCTCTGGGTTTATGCGAAGAGTTCGAATGGCTTTTTCGACTCAAGTGTGTTGATATTTGGTTTCAAGAGCTACTCTCTGGGATACGGACGGCAACTGATGATTTGTCTCACCGTGAAGATAGCAATCGCTGGTCAGTAACATAAATGATGGATCTCAGCGGATCCTGGTCGCGCTTTCGTTCCCCTGACTTTTCTGTACGAGTTCGAATCGGGAGAAATTGCGACCCCAGAGCTCTCCGTCAGCTGTTCGTCACTCGGAACCACATCTCACCTCCAGCTACGTAGGCGAGCACCGCGAACATTACGGTCACGATGGAAGAGGCGTTTTTCATCCTCGAGGGTTGCGGCGGCGGACGCGCGCCTCACAGCACGAACTTCGTCGAGAACGACAGTAACTGCATCACTTCTTCACGCAACGTTCTCGACGCATCGGCGTATCTTAATCCGATCACCGTCGTTGTTCGCTGAGGGTTGACTTTGGCTTGGAATCGCGCACCTGCCGGGCAGGGTCCTTTTTTCGCATGCGCCTGAAGCGGTGAATTCCATTCAGTCGCTCCTAGAAGTCGTGGTGCACTTCCTTTTTCAGAGCAAGGCGCTTTGACAGAGCGACGGCCCCTGAAACAGCGCACTGTGACTGCGACTGAGACGTGGACCGGTTGTCCCGTTGCTCAGAGAGGGAAACAAGCTTAAAGGCTTCTCCGTCATGGCCGCTTACCACCTCACCACGAGCGCCGCCGCTGCCGCGATCACAACACACTCGCTCCTCCTGCGTAATCGAAATATGATTCGAATACTTCGGTCACAACTGTCTCGGCGACCTGGTTCGGGTTCAGGGCACAAGACCTAAGCAGGAGCTGAGTTTCGTCAGGGGGATATTGTTGCCTCCGAGGAACGAAGAGCACTGTGAAGAAGCCCGAGGAGCCGTCCTGTCTCTCCCTCCCCTCTTACAGAGAAACAACATACCTCGAAAAGAACACCACTGATATCTCTGTCGGACAGGCGTTGTGACAAAATAAGCTTCCCCATAGGACTGTGAGTTTCTAAATACTCCACCTCCCCGGCTAAGTCCGCTGCCGTCGTAAGGCATATCGGTGCTCAATTTCGATCGAGCTCCGAAGCCGGCTTCAGCGAAAATTCGAGGGTCCTAGTGACCTCCGATTTACGCGCACCCCTCTTCACCGCTTCCAGATGCCGACAGAAGCAATCGAAGTTGATGACATCCAGTAATCATGCTTCCAGCGCTTCGAGTTTTTGGTAAACGTGGCCCGACGGCTCTCAGATTCGTCAGTGGTGCTCAGCTGCCCCCGGTACGTGGAAGATTTTTCTGTGTGAAAGCACCGACATGAGACTCGCGTCAGCGAGATCTGTATCCAGGATCTGTCGCTGGATTTCGAGGGTTCTGCCCTCCCGCTCTTAGGATCATGATCGAGCTGATTGCAATTTCGATTCACAGACGCGGCCGTCCTTCGCATACGAGTCGAAAACTCGCCTAGACGATGGCCTCCGACCGCTGTATCTGGACTTCCAAGCCACGACACCCATGGATCCTCGAGTCTTGGACGAGATGCTCCCATTCCTCGTGGGCTCATACGGAAACCCTCATTCGAGAACCCATCAGTACGGTTGGGAAAGCGAATCCGCGATGGAGAAGGCTCGCGCGGACGTGGCCAATCTCATAGGAGCGGATCCGAAGGAAATTGTTTTCACTTCCGGAGCCACAGAGAGTAACAACTTAGCTATCAAAGGTGATATACATATTTGCAGAAAGTATTTTCGTCCGCTTGTTCAGTGCACTGCTCGTTGTCGGATTCGGCCTTCATCCCTTGTTAGACGAAATCTTTTTCGGTCGGTTCTCGCGTCGCGCCTGTTGATTTTCTATCACAATTATTATCACAGAAAAAAAAGTGTTATTCTCCGAGAGTCGCGATGATATTTCTCTCGGAAAGGCTCAGGGCGAACCACCGCGACGAAAAGCGGAGAAACTTTGGCTTTTTCTGGGAACCCGCGCGGCGGAGTCCCTGACGCTTTATCCACTAACCATTCGATTGATCCCGTCCTTTGATCTTCAGGCGTGTCGCATTTCTACAAAGAGAAGAGAAATCACATCGTGACGACCCAGACGGAGCACAAATGCGTGCTGGACTCGTGTCGTGTCTTGGAGGGCGAAGGCTTCAGAATCACCTACTTGCCGGTGTCGAAGAACGGTCTTATCGACTTGAGTGAGCTCGAAAAGGCCGTCACGAGCGAGACGGCCCTCGTTTCAATCATGACAGTCAACAACGAGATCGGGGTCCGGCAGCCCATCGAGGAAATCGGCAGAATTTGTCGCGAGAAAAAAGTGTTCTTCCACACAGACGCCGCGCAGGCAGTCGGCAAGATGCCGATTGACGTGAATGCAATGAAAATCGATTTGATGTCAATTAGCGGACACAAGCTGTACGGTCCGAAAGGTGTGGGAGTCCTGTATGTCCGGAGACGTCCGAGGGTCCGACTGGAGCCTCTGCAGAGCGGCGGAGGTCAAGAACGTGGTTTGAGGAGTGGGACAGTCCCCACGCCACTCGTTGTGGGAATCGGAGCCGCCTGTCGACTCGCACACGAGGAAATGGACTTCGATTGTGCTCACGTCAGCAGACTCTCTAAATTGCTGATCGACCTCATTACGAAAGATCTGACTCATGTTGTGCGGAACGGGGATCCGGATAGCAGCTATCCCGGATGTGTGAACCTGTCGTTCTCATGCGTCGAGGGCGAATCACTGCTGATGGCCATGAAGGACGTGGCCTTGAGTTCAGGAAGCGCCTGCACGAGTGCGAGTCTCGAACCGAGTTATGTTCTGAGGTGAGTTTTTTCGCCCCTACCCCCGAAATGAATGCTTCATCCACATATGCACATAGGTGAGAGGATCGGGCAGAAAGAAGACTATCAAGGAATCGTATGGACCGTAGGATTTTGGTCGATTTATGAGGTGTCTCTCGAGTGTCGGAATACGTATGTACATATCGGACTCGACTCCGGACCGATATCTAGCTTCCATTAAGAGGTGTAATTCGTTCTGCAGGGCGATCGGAGCAGATGACGATCTTGCACATTCATCGATTCGTTTCGGCATCGGCCGCTTCACCACGGAGGAGGAAGTGATCTATACGGCTACGAAAATCGTTGACCAAGTCAAACGTCTCAGAGATATGTCCCCGTTGTGGGAGATGGTTCAAGATGGTGTTGACTTGAAGTCCATTAAATGGACGCAACACTGAAGTGCGTCTTCGTGTATAAAGTCATAGTGTATCCTTAGGAGTCGGAGAGAACATGAGCGAGGCTTCCCCTTGTCTAGAAGTGATCGTGTCTGTTATCGTTTAAGCAGCGAGTTCTCTGTGTAAGGGGAATAAAGTGAGACTGTTCTTGCTCGTCATAGTCCAGAAGCTGATTGAATCCCTGGGCAACATACGAGTAAACTTCCAATTTCAATATATTTATTCCGCATAGATGTATGTACTTTTCGAATATACTTTTCAAGCACATGCTTGTATAGGTCTTTGTGTTGGGTAAAATTACATTCAACAAACTTCGGAGACAACTATCATGACGATGGCGAAGGTTGAAACGCACCAAGTCCGCGAACATTCCATTTGCATTGTTTAGGATGTTCGAAGCCTTAGGTTACAAACATCGTTCACGTGAAAGCAAGCTAACTTCAGCGACGACATTTCACTCATTCATGACTGATTCGCCCATTTGTAGGTTTGTGATCAGCATCACGAAGCATCGAACCCCGGCTTCAATATATTCATCTCTAGTACTGATCCTGCTGATAGGCGGCGGTACCTGGAGCGGTACCCATCATCTGAGGGGGTTGTCCTTGCATCGTAGGGATGCCCCCGGGCACATTCGCCGATACCATGACGGGATAACCGGGTGGCATCCCCGCAGATTGCGGGGTGACCCCCATTGGAGGATAGTAAGGCATCTGAGGCACCCCATGAGGAATCTGTGGCGGTATGCCCATCACGGGAGGGACAAACGGCATTTGCGGCTGGCGTAGTTGCTGATGGTACATTGCGAGAGCGTCGTTGAGTCGTCGCGTGAGATTCGTTTGCGATGCTTGTTTCTGGTCGACTTTCACGAGCTCAGCATCAATCAGGGGCGTCATGAGAGAACACTCGGCATCGAGGGCTTCCATTTTCGCATCCTGTTCGGTTCGTTGCAAGGCAGTCGGATCGGCGTCGTGCAGCATCTGGAGCAAGAGGTCGATCTTGCCCTCATCGATGTGGGTGACCTGTTGAACCTGCGGGGTTTCAATGACATTCGAAGATGAGGGATCCTCAGCGGGTGGGGCTTCAAGATCGGACGTGACGAAATTCGACGGGAAAAGACCCTCTCCACGGTGATTTGAACCCTTCCACCAGTTGGAATCTCGATCTTCCAGTACTATTATGACCTCGCCTGCTTTGAACGACAGCTCGTTTTCCTCGGCCGCCTCGAAGTCGTATAGAGCGCGGACTTTCCTCGTCTCTTTGGAGCTGACTGCGGCGGCCGCGCCGCTCCCTCCGTTACTGACTGCTGTCGTGTTCATTGGTGTCGACGTACTGCTGCTCATGCTCGACATGTTGCCCATCGATGGATAGAGACTTGAACTAGTGGTCGGCTTTTTTTGGTTTCTTGCAAACTTAATTCGATGGCCTTAGCGAGATCGTCTTCCTCTTGCCTGTGGGTCTGCGTTTGTGCCTTGGGTATGCCGTCCATCATTTCGAGTGTGGGCTCTTGGACATCGAACTGGACACCCTCTGATTTGCACTTTTGGAGGAAGTTTTCTATGAGAGCTAGTTGCGGATCGGACTTGAATTCGTTTTGCACCCATTTCGCTAAGAGGAATTTTAGTTTGTCTTGCACTTTCGGATGACCCCTGGCGAGAATGTTTTTACACAGCGTGGTGAAATCTCTCGAGCACACCTCAAGATGGAACTTCTTTCCGCAATTCATCACGAACACATCGAGCAGGGAAAGCGTCAGGAGTGCGACTCTCGGGTTGGGGTTCTGTAGGCGCTTAGTGAGACATCTGTACGCCTCTTTCGTGCCTTCTGGCGAAGCATTGACACGATCGCACAGCTCGTACATGATCGATACATCTTCTGTAAAGTAAGACGACCTTATCGTTAAGAGTTGCTCTCATGTGTTTTCGACTCGAGTCCTTAATAATCTATCGTTCCAGCTGATCGTTCCAGCGTTGAACTCAGGGAGGCTTCCAAACAATGGGATGACAGTAGCAGCAACCCATTAGGCAACGGAATTCATAGAGCACGGAGATTAAAGTGCCTCGCACATATACTATGACGTAGACTGTGTAACGTAAGAATGCGTGTGTGGTTCCGTGTGTAAGACCCTTTCGTACCAGAAACCAACCGATTCGACGTCGACGACGCGATTCGAAGCGGATCAGAACCGCAGGGAAGAAAACTCCCAGGGAAACAACGCACCGATGCAATGACTCATATATTCCGGAGCATCTACGTGAGAGATGCCTCATCAGCTGATGCTCTGCCTGAAGCGCAAGCGAAAGCCACAAGGATTGTGCACTGTACGGACTCTCCGGAATATTTCCAGGGAGCGAACTCCCCGCTTCGAGGCTGACGACACCGTCACCCCCCACGTCCCGCGTGTGTACTCTCACTCAAGAGACCGGGCGATAGTTTCTTAAGGACAGAGGGAATGAAAGCAGGTACCCACCTTTTATTACGGTCTCCTTGGTGGCCTTCTCGATTTCCTGCTCGATCGGTGTGCCGCCAAAGCCGAAGATGGGCATCTCGAAATATTATGGCCGAGTTTCCCACTCGGCAACACGAGAATTGCTTCGATGCGGAAGAGAAAAAGTACTGCTCCACACAATGTTGTGATGGGTCTGCAGACTGGCAGAACTCGAACGGCTGCAGCGACGACGACAGGTCCTTGTACCAACAAACGTCTGACGACTACTGACTGACTGACTGGCTGATTGCCTGCTTGCTGCTGACGACTGGTCGTTCTGCTCTCTTGCTCACCTATCTGGTGTGTTGGAGGAGAGACGTCAACAATAACAGCAAACACCAGACAGGCACTGCGGCGGTGGCGGACGTCACCGCTGACCGTCGGCAGAATATTTCGGTCAGATGTCTGATAGAAAGGCGTCACTATGAAAGTCAGCTTTCCAGAAAAGCCTTGATCGTTTCATGCGAGTATCCCTCGGGAAAAGGCGACAGGAAGGACATTCCGAGGATGAGTCATGTCATGGTCTTGTTTCGCTGACTGAGCACGGAGAGGAAGATGATTGTGATTTCTGCTTGGCACTTTCATCGGGGTCGGGTTGATCCAGCTACGTGAGCTCTGGCTCATGATATTGTTGGGAGCACGCTCATTGGCTGAAGCTAGCAAGTCTTATACGTACACACAATCGAACCTCATAGGTACGTCACGTCGTTTCGACGTTCTTCGAGCTCGTACTTCGGCCATCCTTTCCTATTCTAGCTACTGAACTACCATGCACCTAGTGCATTTCAGGTGCATAATGGCTGAGAGAGCACGCGGTCCCAGGTCGAGGACTCCGGCGTTTCCCTTGATTGAGCAGGCTCCAAGAAGCTACTAAGAAATACATCCCGATCCCTCCTCGAAAATCATCGACGTCTTAGATAAGGATAACGCTCTTCTTTCACACCGCATCGATTTAGATTGTCGGTGCTGTTGCTCACGGTAGGTTGCCCAGAACAGAACTGATGAGTTCTTCTGCTAAGAAGAGGAATACCAAATTGAGAAGTGACGCTACGTGAGACGAATCGAACAACTTCTGTGTGACATTCTCTCGCAGTCAACCGGAGAAACACCATTCGCCGGCGAGACGCTAAGAAAGCTTCCTCCGCTTATCCCTCAAGAGAATCCACCATCTACTTAGGTCGTTCTTCGACTCACGTCGGCTCGTCGCGCAACAATTATTATTGATGGGGTGAGCCGATGTTACACTCTGTGGTATATTACCGTCTTTCCGTTCCGTCGAACTCATCATGAAGGTTCGACGCTCAGCAGACGAAGTAATTTTTCCGAGACCGGTTCGATAATAATCAATGGATGCCGTTACACCGCTCATGCCAAGGGGAATTCATTCAGCGGACCTCGGTGCTCGAAGTTATCGTCACGGAAGTATGCGTAGGTTCAGCGCCGAATGTACCATTATCACCTCCTCTCATGATAAGCACCGATGAGGACCTCCGTCTCGATTCGTCTACCTATATAATTTCTCTCAACGATTCGTCGGAAGTAGGCCAGGATAGATTCACTCTTCGAGACTCACTTCGGAAGGGGAGTGGAAGACCGTGGTGTCATTGCTACACGAGTCTAGGATGAGGCTCGCCAGGAACTCGAGGACATTGACTCAAGGACTCTCTATCCTTGCGCTCGGAATCAGTCGCACTGTCTACTCCTGACTCCTGATCTGACTATCCGTAAACACAAAGAAATCGATACCACTTCGGGGAAGCTGCTACGTAAAACTCCCTGCCCGTGTGACCATCGTGATCCTTGCTATTGAAATGGCCCGAATGGGAACGCCTGCGAAACCCGAATGGAATCAGATATCGAGTATGTATTGCGGACGTTTTCAGAACGAATAAAGTAACCTCGTCTTCCCGATGCGCCGAGTCTGCGCCGGGTTCGTCGGAGGTTTTGGTGCACGACTCTTCTTCCGTGTGCAACCATCAGCCCGACACCCACTAGCCCGACAGCAGAATTCGTCTACCCTCTCCCGGCTGAACCAGCGGGGTTGATGAGTGGACATGAGCCAGCAAAAGCTTGGCTCCATGGGCTACCATTGATGAAACTGACCGCCTCGACGGCCGGCCAAGGCCCTGAACCATTGAGCCCTCGTAGCTCACCGGAGCTGGGTGTTCACAGTTTTCCCCGACACTGCTCGCAGGCCTAGAGGGCGGAGGGTCAGAGAGGAATCCATCAGGCTCCATTCGGATCAAGAGAGGAGCGCGACATATGCGACACGAGATATCGTTCGTATGCGATTAGATTCCCAGTCGCCGACTTTGACTCGATTCATGCCGACATAGCGAAAGAAACATATGGCATGAAGAAGATGGTCAGAGGGAAACCGGTCTTTTTCTCTATCCGCTATGTGTATCTACGCTACCTATGTATGAGAGCTCCGAGCGAATCTATGAATATCGGGGTTAGGGGGCCGGAGCTATTCTCCAGTTTCTGGAAGCGAATACTGGAATCTGAATATCTACTCAGTGAAGAATCGAAAATGAGGGATCATACGCACCACGTTCCTCACGCGAGTGACTCCAAGTATGTACTACCGCAGTAAAAATAAATTCAATCGTAAGAGGACTGTGCCGTGAATTGAAGTCAGCGACGAGATGTGCGGTCGGGGGTTCTCACTTGTGAGGGACTAGTCGGCATGCAAGAATTCCGCAGAAAATTCCGATGTCCACCAGGAACTGGGTAGCCGACATTAGGATCAGCTGAAAACCGTCCATCTCGAAGAATGACATCCTACTGCTGAGACGGTCAGGGGGAAATCGTGTCATACGCATCAGGAATTCATCGTGGGTGTCAGCCTTGGGGAGCTTCGTACAAACGCAGCTACGAAGCTCGAAATTAGGTACACTCGCAATCGGAAAGCAGAGTTCTCCGAGAACCCATCGGATATTATCCGTACCTCTCCTCATCATGGCGCCGTCTGCCATGGTAGAACTGAGGTATTGTACCCTTCGGAGTAAAAAGGAGAGAAAGAGCTCGCTAAAACCTCAATGAGGCTCGTATCTGTCCCGACTCGATCGATAATAATTGGAAAGCGCCGAGACCTGCACCCATCCCTTCTGATGGGTTCTTTCTTGTGAATTGATAACTCACAAAGGATACTCCACAAGTTCCCTCCGAGGAGGAACGATCAGAGCGGGACGCCTTTTTGAGATCCACGCCACGTAAAGATAGAAACCTTTGAATAAGGATCACACCATGACAATTGCGCGATCGACCATCTTCATAATCATAGTAGAGTACATAAAATTATCGCCCCCGCCAATTTGCATCCGCCCAGTGCATCAGAAAAGCAGTTCATGTGCGAGATTTGTCAGGCTGGGATCCTCTGTTGCCCATACGCGCTACGGAGCGCAAAAGTAAGGACTCTCGATCAGTTTCCTCAGGGTGAGGGAGCGGAATCACTGAACCCCCTCCTTCTTCCCCCGAAGAACCATTCGGCAAGCTTCAGCTGGAGTGGATGATGTCGTTAATTAATTTGAAACATCTGGGAATCGGAAAAAAAATTCCCGGTTTCAACCATCTCAGCAAGATTCGTTATAAATCAATGAAGTCGTGCGTCGCGGTGCACTACCGTCGGCGACTCTCAATGATTGCTAATCTGGATCACTCAGGAATTGAGCTATTGCCCCGGATGATTTCGTGAGGAGGCATGGAAGTGAATCGAATCCAAGTCGATACAGAATGCGGAAGCGTGAACTCCTCAGGCCGACTCCTCCTGAGGATGCCCACGAGGAGAGAACCCCGATCCCCAGTTGGTCCGCGCGGCACGATCGAGGAGGAATCGAGCTCTCGCTGAGCAAGGATGTCGGCTCCTACAAACAATCCTCCGTCGCAGCATGGGAATATCCTCTGCGTGGATTCCTTCAGAATCGGAACACTTGACCAAGGAAATACAGGAGCACCGTGATGAATAATCGCGCCGCGCGGCGAATAAGGGTAATTCGACAGTCTCACCTAACCCTACGGAGATGCACAATATAGAGGAATAATAATGAGGGAGCCAGCGAAAGCGAAGGGATCACGCCGAGAAAGTAGGTAATATCACTATCATATTCCATTCCCAATAAGAAAGCAACGGCAAAAAATCGACGACCATGGACATGGGAACTGAGAGTGAGATGCACGTCAAGATCGAGTCTCGATTGTCCACCCCAAAACCGTTCGAGCGTCTTGGACAACTGAACATGGGGTGAGATTCCTAGTGACGAGTGGATCCAGAGCCCGGGACGATCCTTACGTCGCACACCCGAGGCAGCATGACATGAACTTCCCAAGTGCTTGAGCGCCGTTCGATCGAGCATGATGGCGATGATCTCTGTTTTTCTCGCGATCATCCATTCTACAGCGGGCGCTGCGTAGTCTTTATTGATTTGGGCGATTTACGTGGTTCATAAAACATTTCACATCGTTTGAGTGATGGGGAAATGACCCCAGCATCCTCGGATCGCTTCTGATAATAAATTTGGGATGATTCGGACGATCTCGATGGTCAATATTTGCGACGCATTCGATGACGAAACGGGTAAATTTCAGTTTTCGGACCTTCAATATCCAACTATTTCGATCATCGCTCTGCCACAGAGCCTCGGACTCTATTCCCCGTCAAAATCAATTGGTCATTCTTTGTCGATCTCGAGAGAGAAGGGAAATCCAGGCTTGCTTTGCCATCCTGTCGAAGGCGTGCTTCCGATGTTATCCGCTAGAGGCGCTCCTGCTCGCTGCCGTTTCAAACGAGCAGAGCTGGGCTCGCCGCTGCGATTGTGCTGGCCTGCGGTCAAATATGTGAACTCGCTCGGAGAGATCTGTGTTTTCGGCGAGATTCTGTTCAATTTTGCCGTTTCAAAAATACAGTTTGCGTGCAGTTGGTGAGCGTCGTTGAGCCGAGTGCCGGCGGGCTTCCGGAAAGCTGCTTTCTCTTCTGGAAGGTGAGCAAATTCTTGAAGATCGCTATGATGCTTCTTCTGTACGCGGGGTCAGAACGCTGTAGCTTAGCAGTGATCTTCGACAGAGGCTTGAGTGAGCGCTGTGAAGGTTTGACTTCAGAGCTGAACTTTGAATTCTCCGACGATTGCCACGCCACTTGCTGCGGGTTGTCAATGAATCCAATGTTGTGACAAGAAATTTCCGTCCTCTATGTTGTGTATGTGTTTGTGTGGGAGACAGTTGGAGTGTCTAGCTGTG